CGGTGGAGAGCTGCAAATTTTGACCTAAACTCGGCACTTACGGCCATTGAGCAGTAAGGGATCTTTTTCGTGCCAGCACCTACTGCGACACGGGACCTCGGTTTATACGTCTCATCCGAAGGACCGGTCTCCACGTCTTACAGTGGGATTCGAACCCGCGACGAAAGGATGAGTCCCCTGGAAGTAAAAAATGACGAAAATTAGATCTTTTATGCCGATTTTTCAAAGATCTTAATGTTTTTTTTAATATTGAACTGACATTATACTTGTGTAAGCATTTATATTTGAAACCCAAGTCATTCGAAAACTTTTGAACTCCAAGGTAAATTTTGTTTTTTATTCTTCCCTAGATACATTTGGTAGTCATACTTGAGTGAATAAATCTATATTGCAAATTTGCCAGGTATACTTTAAGGAATTCGTTACACGAATATAACGAACTACGGATACAACGAAGGTTTAAATTTGCAGCCCTCCACCGGGAAGTGGTGGCGTTTCAATACGAGTGAAAAATTCTAGAAGGGACGTTCAACAAAGACAAACAAAATGACAAGAAACACACACTGTACTTGTAATGGAATAGGAAGAAACAACATATGAAGTTTAAATTTTTTGGAACCATATCTCATTGTACTCCACCCCAACGCCCTTCCCAAAAAATCTAGTGAGAGCAATTCATCAGTGTAATCTTTCAACTCTTGAGTTTTTGCCTTGACCTTAGTTTTCTTTCATGTTTAAACATTTCAGGTCTGAAGTAGTTTCGCTTTCTAAATTCGTCAAATACTGTAGAAATCTTATTCTGGCTCACTCGTGAGCTAGCTTTTCTGGTGATGCGGTAAGTTGTGGCGATCCTATATATCCTTTGGATTGATGTCCATGCACTTCACGTTACATTATCAATGATTACCACATTCTACTTAAGATATGGAAGTTGTCAACAACTTTAAATGTATCTCCCTCATGCATAGCTCTGATCCTTCGACGTATTTGGCTCCAGTCTTTGGCACCCCATTTTACAACTTTTCAAAGTTTTTTTTTTTTTAATTTAAATACTTCGGATTACCAACATTTCGGCATGAGCATCACTGAAGAGAAATAATTTGTCGAAATGCGCATCTGGTGCATCAAAATTGGTACCGTATATGATTTACATGTATAAAAAATTTGTTTGCCAAAACCACAAATGTAATCCTAACAAAATTAATGAAACCATTGTATATTATTGAAATGGGGAAAATCCATAAATTCTAAAAAGAAAACTGAAAACAGAAAAAAAATCGACAAATGGTAAACATAGTTATAGCGCAAAATCTTTATTTCATTCTTAAGATGATAATAAACATACAAGTGTCAAATAAATACGAAAGGATTTTCCAGTTTTGTGGTGCAGATTTATAATTGTTCAATTCATGACCGCTAGAATTGGGCTGATTTATATATCTAATTCAGAATGTTTATTCAGTACATTTATTCTGAACATTTTTAACTCAAAGAGACCGGTTGTGGTAGCGTAGTGGTAGGGTGCTCGCTTTCTGATCGGAGGGTCCTGGGTTCGATTCTCGTTCCCAGCTCAGAGTCAAAACCTAAGACCTATAATATAGATTCTGACTGTTCCATTGCCAAGTGCCCGGCACTAAAAGTGAAAGTTAGGGGTCTTTCAGATGAGATCCTAAAAACTGAGGTCCCGTATCGCATAAAGCATTCATTTGATAAAGATCGCTCACTGCTACAGCCGTAAGCGGCATGCATTGGCCAATTTTGTGCTCTTAATCTAAAACTGGCGACTTTTCCATATATGAGTGAAAAATTCTCAAATGGGACCTTAAAGCTATATTGCAGTATTATAGACTCTAATACATGCGAGATGATGTTGGCACTATTTTCTTCTCCACTTGTGTTTCAATTCCTTTGTAAAAATAGTTTGGTCATAGTCAGGGGCTATTGCACACTGGCCTACGAGGCCAAATGTGCGTATTGATATGCCAAACTGTACTGACAATGGAATTAATTCTTTGTCAAAGTAGATTACTAAGTACTTTGATCGTAAATCACAAACAAATGTGTAAAACTACTTACAAAATGGACACAATAAATGAATAAATAAATATGTGACGGAATTGACAAACCTTGCACATTGCAAACTGATATATCTTAGAAATGGATCGAACTCCACCATCAGATCATTAAAGGATAACAGTACAGGCAAGACAAGTTGACGGGAAGATGGAACAGAAACAAAAAGAAGGAAAAACATCTATAAAATGTGAAGATAACAGCGATCATTCTCAAAAGTCAATTTAAACAATATTAATTATAAGCAGAGCCAACACGGATCTCTGAAAATGAGGTAGGAGTAAGCATCCCCTATGGACCGGTCAGACTGGCCGTGTGCATGCTCCTTGTTATGATCGGGTAAACGGAGAAAATCCGTAGACAATTCAGTGTGAAAACAATGGCCTAACAATTCATAAGAAAGACGCCAGTCAACATTCAACTTAACGAAACATTGTATTTGCAAACAAGGTCATTGTACCGACCATAGAATTTGTGAAATGTTGACTTTTAATGAGATTGTTGATATTCTTGTATCATCAATTTATTTGTCAATAGCTTGCCTCTTTTTAGAAATTGTTCGTACGTAAAACATATTCTTGCATATCGAATCAGCTTGGAGACAAAAGTCATCACGTTTATCATAAAGTTTAGTTGTCAGTTGCGTGTCTTTCTCTTGTAAAATCCAAATATGAAACAGTTGTGTGACTTTGTAGCATCTTTTATTTCGAGTTGAATCATATATCGAATCAACGTAGGAATGAAACTGAATATTGTTATTTGATATATCTAAATATCGAATTGAAGGCCACGGCTAAAGACTTCTAAATATGAAGATAACGAACAGTAATCAAACTCAAAAATCCATTGAAACAATACTAATTGGGAGCAGAGCAAACACGGACTCTAAAACATCAGAAGTGAGATCAGGTACTATGACGTTTTTGAATAAACTATGCTTTATATGAATACGAAAACAGGTCTCCTAATATACGGAGTACAATTACTTCTACCCATGGGAATTCGAACAGATTGCTGTCCCCGAAATCCCAAGTATGTTTTAAATCAACCTCGGAGTACTTGTGTATCGAATCAGAATGTCTAACAAAATAAGTTTGCAGATGACCAATGGCAAGGGATGCAAATTTAAAAGTTCCATGCATTCATTGTTCAAAACCCATAGGGAGCAAACACAGCCTCTCCAACATCTTGAACAATTCATGGACAATCCGGTTTTCTCCGGAAATTGACCATATGACTTCGTGTGCATGTGTGAATAGGGAGCACTTATATTACTGCATTCGGCTTGATACAACATGAAGTTAAGACTGTGTATTCAACAGAGGTTCAAAGAAGAGAAGGATAATGGATGCATACACGAATATAATCTATACGAATACAAGACCCAACAAGAAAATGTTTTTTTTTTTACTCAAAACTTCCGCTATTTTCGGTTGATGGAGACGACGGTAGATATATTTATGTACATATATTTGTATACCCAGGATGTTACCTAGGTTACTGCTGCTCATAATCACAGCTTCTTCGTCTTGGCTCATGAATATGTACTACACATATACGTTTCAAAGCCAGAATTTTCCCGGTGGATGTTGGTGCAAACCCGTTTAAATTACATTTTGACAAGCAATAAAAAAGGATTAACGCCACCAGAAAAAAAGACAAAATAAAACTAAAACAAATAAAAAAATTTGCTGCGCTTATGTGTGTATCCTTAATATTGCTGTCTGTCATCTATTCATGAATGTTCTGTTCAAATTTTTCCAGGTCGGGGAAGTATACATCTTTCTGTTACTTTACTTTTCGTATTAACGCTAAAAATCCCGGGCCGGGGGTCATGACCTCGGACCCGTAGAACTGGGCGGGGGCTAACTTTTTTAAAGAATAGTCTTTTTTAACTTGATTCAGTAACATAATTTCCATTCAAAATTCGTGCTATCTCTTTTCATTCCTCCCACTTTTCGTTGAAGTACAGTTGAACTCTGCCACATTATTGCTCTCACAGTGAGAGTAAAACCCCCCTCCCCGAAATATGATTTTTCGAAAAGGTTTTCGTTTTCCAGTTGTCAAATGTTTTTGCCCCCCCCCCCCACCCTTTTTGAAAATCGTTACTATGGGTCTGTGACTCCCTTTGATTTTCCATCCCCGCGGAATCCGTCAAAATATACTTTTAAATATACATATTCACGAGCCATGGCTCAAGTACACGTCTCCAGCAGTGAACACTGAAAGTAGCTCCATGTTTATTTCGTAAATAATGGGAGAATTTTGTTGAAGTGCAGTAGTGCTGCTTAACCTCATAATGCCGCACTAAATTCAGGCAATTTGTATTCGTCTTGGTTGCATATTTTATGGACAGTAAATAATGGTTTGCAAAGGTCTTATTGAACTTACACAGCAAAGCGACTGTCTGTCTGTCACACCTTATATCTTGAGAATTGTAAAAGGTATGGATTTGATATTTTGCACATATTTAGCTTGGCACTATGGCTTTTGTAAATTACCATAATTACCGACCTCATGACCAGTGAACTTGACCTTTGACCTACTTTTCAAAATAGTAAATAGTGCCGATATAAAGTTTATTTTTGACATTTTAGATGTAGGTTTATGCTATTTAGCATGTGCACAGTTTGTCATAAAATATTACGAATAAAAAAAGGGTTACAGATCAGTTGAACGTTATCTTTGACCTTCTTTGCAAAAACTCTCTGGACAGTGTTTTACACCCGCTAAAGAAACCCGCTATACGATAGTCTCTGGATAAAATCTTCAGTAAGAGAGGACTACGGAATGTTCCGTCTACATGATCAACACATAGGGCTCACGGCAGTTGAGACTGATCCCACCTCTGGAATTTCAGGGTTCCGTGTTTTATGCGCTCTTCAAAGAATTAGATTGTTTATAGATACATACTAATCAAACACTAATACCACTAAAAAAAATTTTATCATACCACATCAACAGTACATTCATATATCAACAGTACATATTTAGCCCAAGAAGGTTAGGCTTCTTGCACAATGAGATCCCTGGCCACTTGGAAGGCAGCGATAAGTGAACTCAGCTGTATCTTTTCATTGGTTCCAGAGGCTAATCTGTACCTAGGAGAACAAGACATGGGTCCAATGAAAGTAAGCTACACAAAATAGAATTCTTGTAACATCCAATGAAAGTAAATTACATGTACACAACAAAGATTAACTTCAAGACCATCTTATTTTCCTAAGTCCTAATAGGGCATTCAGTTTTGCAGTTTTTTAGACTCAAACTTTATCTCTAGAAAGATGTGTACACTTGTATATTCATTGTATAAATTAATAACTGCGGTAAATCTGAAATGTCTGTATCATACTGTGGTATTTTTCATCCTTGTATTACTTAGCTTGATATTATCTGTGGTCTAGATACATGTATCATGAGACCTCTCTAGTCCCATTATTTGCTATTTATAAACTATATATATCGCCAAACACCTTAACTCCCTCACTACCCTAACTGCGTCACTTTCGGGAAATTCCATGCTGTTTGTAAATGAATGCGATAGTGACGTCATTTTTTACATGCTGAAAATCTACAATCAAATGCCGATAAATTTTTACAGTCAAGTTCAAGAATGCGTCAAAAATAAAACAATTACACATGATCTATTGTATCTATCATATTTTATGTGAAATCAGCAAGTACTTTTTCCTTTATGCGCTATTCCATCGATACCTCCAACAGGTGCGTCAATATGCTCATTTTTACAAGTCAGTCATATTTATGAAGGTCTTTGCCAAAGGATTAATATGACATACCATATTAAATACGGCTAAAAATATTTTATTTTTCGTCTCAATTTGCCCTAATACGCTACACATTGGATATAATGTAGCGTGACGTTATTACATATAAAATATGTTATATTAACGTTACTTTCTCTGTTGTTGATACTTTTCCTAAAATACAATTTAATACTATTTTAAATCATCAAAACTAATTTTCTATGTTAACAAGTTCAAGATGAAGGAAGAAAAACTAAACTGGAAAAAAATTTCTAATTAATATGTTGACATATTGCAGAGGGCCCTGGTGACGGAGTTAGGGTTCGTTGGACGTAATGTGTACGGATGTGATACTCGTTCTATTTATAGTAGTTTTGTATAAGTCCAATGACTGAGTTTTTTTTAAAATAGTTCTGAAAACAATGTTTAAGTTCATTACTAAGTGTAGCAAACATGAAACAAATCAAAAAAAATTTCAGAGAGTAACCGGACGTGTTTTCCACTTATGGTGACGGAGTTTGGGTACAAGGGGATATTATGCTAAATATGATAGTCTATTGAGCAGACCATCTGATTTGATATTCATATAAAACGTTATAAATGCTGATTATGTCCAAGTCCAAATTTTCTGTTGATATTTCATATTTGATAAATTTATCTTCAACACTAAAATATTAAAATTAATTTTATCTTTAAGGTCTTCTAGACACTTTCCCTTTTTTAGTCACTGTAGCTTTACATGATACCATTTTTTACCAATACTTAATAAAAGTGAGATTTTTATTCTCCATTGAGGTAGATAATCATTGCAGAATCCTGAAAATTTTACTCTGTTAGTGGGAGTCATGTAGCATGATGTAGGTAGGGATGGCAGGTGTATGTTTTATATAATAAATATTACTTACTCAACTTCTGCCATTTTTTCAAGAAGATGAATTTTCACGTTGATTGGTAAATCAACTGAAATAGAAAACAGTTAAAACATATATCTAATTAAGTATCTACATCCTAGGTAGTGCATATCTTACAGTGTCTATACACTTAAACCAGAAAACCATGAATTTTTTTTTCTATACATGATTTAGCATTTGTTTCGAAGGTAGATAATATACATGTACATGTATATATGATGCATATTCTGACATACACTGAAACCTCGTTATCTCAAACTTGATGGGACCAAGAGAAAACTTCGATATATGAGAGGGTTCCAGATATCGAGGGTAAAATACTTAAGAAATTCGTGGTCAGGACTTCCAAAACACTTCGACATATCCATGGTATTTGAGATATCTATGTTCAAGATAACAAAGTTCAACTGTATTACCATACATTGTATATGCAATGCATAACTAACATTTATATGAGTATTTGTATTAGTACTTATATTGATGTGTATATGTTACCTCCATGTAAACTTAAGTGAATTTTATCATTTTAACATTTAAAAATATTGATATCAACTTGAAAACTTGCACTTTGGCAATAACTATCTTTTCATTTGTTATTTGCCACTGTTAGTGCTGACTTAATGATTACAAACTGAGTTTTACCAGCAACATGTCAGCGGAGCTGATAAAATGGATGTTTGCGACATTAAATCAGCATTAACAGTCACAATTACAAATAGGAAGACGGTTATTCGAATTCTAATGCAATTTATGCATATTGTTTGATGTTTACATCTTATTTCCTTGAGTTTTGCATATAACATATCAAGAAACCTTGTGTTTTTGTGACCTTCTATTATGATGTCACAATCAAAAGCTTTCATTAAAGCTAACATTACTGCCTCAAACATCAGTGCATTAGCCAATCAAAATGCAGATTACAAAACAGTTGCAATAGAATGATGCATATACATGTAGGCAAGAGCTTGTCAATATATGTAGGTATAAACTTCTATACTTACGTCGATGAACATAGGTATGAACTTCAGTCAGTATGTCCTGAAGAGCCAGTCCTTTTTCTGTCTTCATTTCTAGGATATCTTTTTAGTGATTAAGAATGAAAATAGTAACAGATGGAACTGTGAGTCTTTGATGGGATTCCAGGCAGGAATGTACATGTAAAAGAATTCCCACATGAATGTGTGTGAGCCCATAAAGAAGGATACAAAAGTACAGTGATTTCAAAATAAAACAAGGTTCAGAATGACTTTGCCATATCCCTCTCCCTTACTAGCAATACAGTATAGCGGGTATTTTTAGGGGGTGCTAACTTTGGCTAATTTTAGCGGTTGTGTAGTAAGCTGCTAAAATTAGCACTCTTCATTATCACCACTGAATACAAGAAAAATTACTTTAAACAACTTTGATTAGTCTGTTGTATATGCAATATAACTTTCATCTGGTATTGTATTTATTAAAACTTTTGTGTAAATCAGTATTCAAACATATATTAAACACACTGAAACTTATCTAAGAGATGAATTTCCTCTCTTTTGCAACGTCATGGAGCTCTGTGTCTGCCAAAATTTTTGGCATACCTTTGAGCAAGCAAATGCCAAATTTTACACCCGCTAAAGAAACCCACTATATGGTAGTCTCTGGTTAAAATCTTCAGTAAGAGAGGATACTGTTATAAGAGGTGGTGAAGCTCTCATTCAGCGTCCAGTTAATGATGTTCTCTATATCTCTCCTGAGTGGATGACCTACACAGGTGTAAACATTGTCTTCATTGACCACATCATGTGCCATATGTGTACTCTGTCAATATGGAATAGAAAACAAATTTTGTGCATATATGGAGCCTTCCTTTATTACTATTAATTCACTATTTAACAATGCTCAAAAAATACTCTTTGACATTTGTATAAAAGTGTCGAAGATTTAGATGTGTATAAGCTAAGATTACTCTTTATCAATCTACACAATGTATCCTGTCAGAATTAATTTTCAAACCTTACCTGAAGAATATTTAAAGCTTTTCTCATATCCCCATTAGCCAATGTAACCAATGCCTTCATTCCATCCTCTGTCACATTACAACTGCAATGAATATAAACAGCAATATCTTACTCAAACTCTTTGAATAATGTTTTTTTCCCCCGAAACTAGCAAGAAGGCCACAGAACTTGACAGACACTAGCTATAGTGAGTTTTTAATCCATAACCAACTAAGCCCCACCTCCGACTGGAACTTCTGGCCCATGTAACATGAACTTATTTGATATTGGGTACTTTATTATAAAACATGAAGTCTGTCCTGCTGTTGCCTAGGATTTTAGACAAATCAGGTATATTCAATAAATGACCTCCAAGGGGCCTGAACCCTCAGGGATAGAAAAATTTATTTTTGTTTACTGGTTACTTGGGCTATTGCCTTAAATTTTTACTGGTCAGCTTAGTACTTTCACTGTCCCATTGGGCCAGTAGATTAAAAAAAGGCTGGCCCAAAGCCATAATAATAATAGTAATATTGTTTTTATATTGTGATACTTAGTACAACTTAACAAAACAAGAAACAGCAGAAGTTGGGACACACAACCCTGTCAAGTTAACTATCCCGACTGTAAATGAATTTTATTATGCATAAAAAAATGCTGACCCAAAGGGCACATGCCCTTTGCAATGTACTAGCCCAGATTAAAATTCACTGGCCCCAGACCAGCGGGCCATCAATTATTTCGATTCCTGACCCTGGGGACAAAAATTTTACAATCTTGTAAAGCACTCACAAACAAGAAGCTTAGTTTTTTGCTAAATTTCCAGGACTGAAGATTTTCACAACTGTGAAATTACTCATTTTGTGGGAATTTAATTTTTCATTGTTTTTGAGGTATGAAGAGACCCACGAATTCATGAGCCAACAGCCCATTATTACCTTTTATATAGTTTGTTTGTGAACAAATACATTTCATCCTACAATATACTTCTCATAAAAACTGACAGACAGATGAATGACAAAAAAAACTTGAACAGAGATGCTTTCCAGATTCTGGGGGTCAGGTGAGTTAAAATAATCAGCTAAGAATGCTTCAAGAAGAAAGTTTGTACCCTTCCTGCTCTATGACATGCTGTAGACGAGGTTCCATTTGATCTGTACCCAGCGGTCCGAATCTGAATCGCGTACATCGTGACTGGAGAGCCGGGATGATCTTGGACAGGTAGTTACAAATTATACAGAAACGAGTGTTCTCTGTGAACTTCTCTATAACTGAAAAATTATACCAAAACCATTTTCAAGTGTAAATACATCAACATATGTTTGATACTGATTATGTTGTCATTTTGAACATTTAGGTCATTTCATGAATGGAAAGGTTTACAGTTACATTTCATACTAAAGTTCACCTAATATATTCAGTCAATTCTCATGTTTATCTTAACAAGAGGTCCATGGCCCACAATGGCTCACCTGAGTAAATATAACCCTTCTGTTCTTTATCAGCAGATTTTTTTCCAATATATTCCTGTGTAAAATTAAGATAATATAATGTGGCTCCACCCTACCCCCATGTGTCATGATTGGAACAAACTTGAATCTGAGGATGCTTCCATCTATACTTCATTAATCATTGCTTTGCTGTTCTGAAGAAGAAGACTTTAAAAGATTTTTCCAATATATTTTTATGTAAAACTTTAACTGGCCATTGTGGCCCCATACTATCCATGGGGGTCATAATTTGAACAAATAAGAATCTACCTAAACTAAAGATGCTTCAGTATAAATATAAGTAATGATGGCTTTGCTAATCTTGAGAATTTTTTTAAAAAAGATTTTCCCTGTGTATTCCTAAGTAAAACTTTGATCACCCATAGTGGCTCCACTCTGCCCCCTAGGGTCATGATTTGAACAAACTTGAATCTACACTACTTGAGGATGCTTCCACACAAATATTACTTATCATGACATTGCTGTTGAGAAAGAAAAATTAAAAAGATTTTCCCCATGTATTCACTCATAGTGGCCCCAACCTACCCCTGGGGGTCATGATTTGGACAAACTTGAATCTACACAACTTGAGGATGCTTCCACATAAATATGACTAATCATGACATTGCTGTTCTTGAGAAGAAGAATTTAAAAGATCTTTCCTTTGTATTCTATGTACAACTTTGATCATCCATAGTGGCCCCACCCTACCCTTGGGGGACATAATTTGAACACACTTGAATCTATACTAACCCAGAAAGCTTTCACATAAGTTTCAACTTTTCTGGCCCAGTGGCTCTTGAGAAGATTTTTAAAGTACCCCACCCAATTTTTATTATTTCTTAATTATCTCCCCTTGGAAGAGGGTGTGGCCCTTCATTTGAACAAACTTAAATCCCCTTTACCCAAGGATACTCTGTACCAAGTTTGGTTGAAATTGGCCCAGTGGTTCTGAAGAAGAAGATGAAAATGTTAAGAGTTTACAAAAAACACTGCTGCTTCCAACAGACAATGGACAAATTTTGATCAGAAAAGCTCACTTGAGCTTTCGGCTCAGGTGAGCTAAAAAGATATTTTGTGAATTCTTTCTAATGATAATACTGTGATTTAACAAACAAGCAAAGTGCACACTTAAATTTTTCAATATAACTGTGATGACTAGTAAAGCTGAGACATTGTACCTCTTCGTAATGCATTCTGTGCATCTCTTGTCATAGCATCTGCCTCGTCCAGTATCACAATCTTAAATCCAGATCTGAAATACATACACTTTAAAATACAGGACACATTTTAACCATTAACTCTGTAAATGAATTAGCAGGTGAAAAAAACAGGTCTTATGGAAAAGAATCGTTTCATAATGGTAGGACCTATAAAACCCTTGTAACAGTAAAATTACTTAAACTTCCTGCAAATTTCAAGTGACAGTCTTATTGCATTTTTCACCAGCCATAAATTTCCCCTCCTTTTTCAACAAGTAATTCAATTAGTTTCTTCTTGTAAGTGACAAGATCATTATATTTTTGTGCCAGAATGAAATGTGATTTACAGTAGTAATCCGAACCAACATTCTGGGCCTTTCGATTTTTCTTTCAAAGGAATGATTCACTCCTACACTCCACTACATGTATATGACAAATTCTCCTAATTTGAAACAATAGTTTCTACTTACTTGAAGATAGTTCTTGTACTGGCAAAACTCAGAATTTGTCCTCTTACAATCCCTATCCCTCTGTCATCGGAGGCATTTAACTGAAAACAAGAGCAAAAGATTACATATGTATCATCATCAAATACTGTAAATGTATTTTATTTAGCATGTACGATATTTGGCTGATATTGGCTTTTCACGAAGTTAGCGTGAATTTGATTTAGCGCATACCTGTATATGCTAGATTTAAATATATGTACTCCAGACATTAGGCAATGAACTTGATTTAGAGGAAGCTACTTTCCACTAAAAGTTCTAAAAAGAATCCACTACTAAATGTTGTACCTTCACAGTGTGTTGTTACTTATTCATTGGAGCTAAACTGAGCAAAGAGTTTTTTAATTGTTATACATGATCATATAAAGCTGTTAGCAGAATGAGTAGATATAAGTATAAATACATGTATGCTTGTATGCATGTATGCACACCTCTAGAACCATGGAGTTGAATTCCTTTGGGGAGTAAATCTGTTTGGCAACTGCTAAGATAGTACTAGTCTTCCCTGTTCCTGGAGGTCCATAGAACAACAGGTGGGGAAGTCTGTCTTCTTTGACAAATTTGTCAACTGAAAGGACAACAAAAAATCCCAATTAAGTAATTATGTAGTTTAATCAGGGAAATCTTACTGTGTTTTTTTTCCAGTTTTTTTGGTATGAATATCACAAATCATTCATATGATTGGCTTGGCAAATAACAAGAAAGGCTAAGATGCCTTTTTGGCCCCTGGTTTGGGGTGTTTCCAAGAACAATGCAATAGTTGATAATTTAAAACAAATAAAAACAAACAAAACAAAAAAGTTGTCATCCACAAAAGGAGTTTTGATTCTAAGTAATATGATACAATAGGTCACAGGAAGGTATAACTGCAGATCTGTACTCGCTGGTCTGAAAAAATTGGGATGGACAACCAGAGAGCTATAGTGCCACCCATTGAAACAAGAGGCCCATGGGCCACATTGCTCACCTGAGTAACTTTGGCCATGCTGATCTTTACCAGATTTCCCCCTTGTAATACCTATTGTGGCCCCGCCCTACCCCCGGGGGTCATGATTTGAACAATTTAGAATCTACACTACCCCAGGATGCTTCCACATAAGTATCAGCTATTCTGGTCCAGTGGTTCTTGAGATGAAGATTTTCAAAGATTTTTCTTATATATTTCAATGTAAAACTTGGATTCCCTATGGTGGCCCCGCCCTACCCCCGGGGGTCATGATTTGAACAATTTAGAATCTACACTACCCCAGGATGCTTCCACATACGTTTCAGCTTTCCTGGCCCAGTGGTTTTTGAGAAGAAGATTTTTAAAGATTTTCCCTATATATTTCAATGTAAAACTTGGATTCCCTACTGTGGCCCTGCGCTACCCCCGGGGGTCATGATTTTTACAATTTAAAATCTACCCCAGGATGCTTCCACAAAAGTTTCAGCTTTTTTGGCCCAGTGCTTCCTGAGAAGAAGATTTTTTAATGACCCCACCCTATTTTTGTCTTTTCTTCATTGTCTCCCCTTGTAAGAGGACTTGGCCCTTTATTTTAACAATTTAAACTCCCCTTTACCCAAGGATACTTTGTACTAAGTTTGGTTAAAATTGGCCCAGTGGTTCTTGAGAAGAAGTTGAAAATGTGAAAAGTTTACAGACGGACGGACAGACGAACGGACGACGGACAACGGGTGATCAGAAAAGCTCATTTGAGCTTTCAGCTCAGGTGAGCTAAAAAGTGTGTATTTATTGTGCACAAAAAAATGTGCTGTTTCTCAATTTATTTATCCATATATTTTAACTACCATCTCAAAATATTACAAACCGTGTGTTCCCTACATATTTTTTCACTACTCCCATAATAAAACATTTTCCCAAACCGTTGTAAACAGCTCTCCTGAGCCTGAAATTGAGACCATCAAAAATTTTGCATATTTATACTGCCATCTTGAGTGGCAAGACAATTCGGTCCAAGGTGCTTCGTACATGACTTGTACATACAATTTTGTTTTGGAAGTAGTCAAAAGAATATGTTAGAAACACACAATAAATAATATTTTTATATATATACTGAGAAATAAATCAAGAAAACAGCGCACTTTTTTGTGTGCAATAAATGCACACTTTTTTCAATGGGTGGCACTGTAGCTCTCTGGTCATCCATCCCAATTTTTTCAGACCAGCGAGCTACAGGTCTGCAGCTAAGGAAGGTAGCAAAATCTGTGAATTTCTGAATTTTCTCATTTTCATCAATTTTAAAGCTTATTTTGTTTCAGAAAACATAGAGCACAAGCTTGTCCATCTAACAAATTCATATATTTCATGCACCAGTATCACACTCATCTTCTGCATGAAAATCTCAGATATGCAAGCTTGTGCTCTATGTTTTCTGAGGTAAAAAGTATCTAAAATTTGATGAAATTTCATCAGAATATTGAGGAAATTTGGTAAAATGTACTACTTTGTCACCCTCTTGTGGCCTCAGGGTACTCTTTGAATTAAAACCAATGCTGGTTAAAAAACAAGCACCATTTCAAGTTCTTAATTGCAATTTTATCACAATTCTAGCAGCGTTTTGATTTTTATATGAAATAAGAGGCCAAATAAGGCCATTATCATACTTTGTCCTTTATGGGCATTATCTCATAAAAACACCTTTATCTGCCTTTCTTTAACATATCATACATGCTAAAATACTTACTTGTCGAAATAATGTCTTTATGGGATATAAGTTCATCTAAATGTTTTGGTCTGTACTTTTCAACCCTACATATAAAAGAAAATCAATAATCATAATCCGAACAGTTGTACTTTCTATCCCAAAACTTAATCCAGTAATACGAGTTTATAAAAAATTTAACACATTTCTCAGCTTTTTTCTCACTTCAAATTTATCTGCCATGTTCACTCTGGAAATCTCTGAATCTTCCATAGTATGAAGCCAATTTGAAATATGAATCCTATTTATTTTGCTACAATGACACCTTGCAAAACAAACTCAATTAACTGTACAAATAAAACCAGATCCACAGAACAAATCATTTTATAATAACAACAGAAAATTCTATGCCCCTACCCATTTCATATACTTGCATCACATGCAACAAACAATAAATGAAAAAGTAAAAGGAAATTTAAATTCCTAAAACTTGGCTTCCCGATCTTCTGTATCATTTAACAAAGCCATGGATTGTCACCTTGTAATATTTATTTCTAGTAAATACTGAGGCAGTTTTATTCCCATTAATTTACAGTTTTGAATAGAAATGTTTTTTCTTACAAGACTAAGAGTTTACATGATGCTTCAAAATAACAAAATTTTAAACAAAAATTTCACATATTAAACCATTTAGAGCAATCCCAATAGCTTGCTACATGTGTATCATCTTTCTTTCCATGAATTCAAAGAAAGAGACGTGCTGGTTAGACTTCTTCCGAAAAAAATCCTTGAAAACGGGACGGTATGTCAGTCCTTAAATGTTGTCGAAAAGAGCCTGAGAAATTAACAACAGATCTATACTGAGGAATTGTTTATTTTTATTGCTATTAAAGTAAGGTACTACTATAGTCCAAACCAAGAGAAAATGGTATCAAGGAAGGGTTAACCTGTGTCACCTTTCAGTAGTAAGCAATGAAATTGTCTACTGATGGGGAAAACTTGTACGAGATTCCTATGCAAGCAAAAAGTGGGAAATCTCTTAATAAATATACATTATTATAACAGTAACTTGATCCGAAGAGTCGTATCACGTCGAGTTGACAGGCGCGGATCATCAGATCAAACGAGACGCGAAGCGTTGAGTTTGATCTGATGATCCGCGCCTGTCAACGAGACGTGATACGGCTCTTCGGATCAAGTTACTGTTATAATGATAAATTTATTATATACTCCCCTTACAACTGGCAAAATATAGTTTTAAAAAAACTCTGGAGATCAATTATATAAGATTTTCCTATTAAACAAAGCATTTTGTCAAGGAATTTTTTTGATGCGCATGAAAAAATAACGTCACGTTTCTGTGTACTACGTCATCAATTTCAGAGAGGGGTGATATGGATTCAGAAAACCACAGTGTGGTGATCCGGAAAGTCGGATCACACCGTCAAGTGATTGTACAAAATCTACAGTAAAATTGAGTGATACACACTTGGGTATATAATAATATCTTTTAATATAAGAAATTTTTAAGATAAGCTGCATTTTTGTTTCTAGAGATGTTTTTGTTTGCCTTATTAATATATAGGTTCATGTACATATAATAATGCACGTTAACACATAAGGTATTAATTGAATTTGCAGATGTATCTTGAATTATAACAACATAATGTCTAAATATGAAACTTAAAAATATCACCAATGTACTAATTGGAAGAATTACTCTTCATTGTGTGTTGTTTATTGTCTGTTACTCTATCTGTAATTATATATGTTATAAGTTTATGCCCAACTGGGCCCTGATTTGGTAATAAACAGTGTTTCCGCTGATTTTGAAAACCAAGGGTCATTATCACCCTTTGAAGTTAACATCTGGGAATCAGAGTTTTTTAGGGTCAAAATACATTCTGGTTTTGCTTTCAGTTCTTATATATTAGATATGCTTACTTTACATCATAATTTGATGTTTAAAAAAATGAATGATAAAATTTTTGAACTTGTTAATTTTACATTTTACCAATTCCGCCATTTGGGTTTCTTGGAATACACGTCAATCAAAAGGCAATATCTGAAAGTTGTTTGAACATTTTGCAAAACTGTTCATCAATGATTTGAGCTTTGCTGACCTTTCTATTAAAACATCAGCCGTTTTGACAAAGCCAAACTGAAATAAACATGCTGATTTCAGAACCGAAATTTTTTATTTGGACTTCCGGTTTTGTTAAGAATTGGATAGATTGTTTGAAAATTTAAACAGATTGTTGACATTATTGAAACATAATTCCAATCACTGCCGATTTATTCCTAGAAACTTCAGGCAACAATTTATTCCTAGAAACTTTGAATGCAAGTTAATAAACTGGTTCCATCCAGGCAACAACATTGAACTTAATTCTTTAAAGTTTGTTTTAGTATTTTTTCTGAATCATGAAGATCCTTTAGATGATGCTTCAGGGGGTAAAAAGTATTTTTTATGCGTTAAATATGCAGAAATTTGTGCAAATGGAAACACTGATAAATCTTGTATTGTTATCCATTCTATAGTTTCAGTAAAACAATTAAACCAATCAGACTTGTCGAAATCCGTCGGTCCTGTCAGCAAGACCAGTAAAAAACTGTCTGGACCGATTACTTCCTATAAAATGTCGGTCCAAATGACCGTTGGAAAAAAATCGAGCGTGACCCAAATTTTAAAAAGATTGGGATCGGGGTGCGCAGGTGAAGGTCACAAAACAGAAGAGATGGCCACGTGGTGACGATAGTTGATTTAATTGACATGAAACGTGTCACTTATGTCTTTTATTAAAGACTTTCTATTCCTAAGAAAAGAAACTTGTGAGATTGAATGCTGTTGAAAATAATAAAGTGCATTTTGGAGCAGTTATTTATTTTCCTTTCTCAGCATCATAAGATACATGAATCTGGTCTGACAAAACTTCGTCCCGTCTGACAGAACATTTGACTTTGTCAGACCAAATGTCTGACAGTGATTTTAAAATGTCGACAAGTCTGCCAATGGCCTAGCACAGAGCTGTGGAAAACTTTTTCAGAAAGCCTGTCATTCGAACCGGCAAGAAGACAAAATAAGCCGGTCCAAAGTGATTTTTGCCGGTCCAAAATAGCACATCGCAAAATTTAAAAAAAAGCATTACATTTATTTATTTCATTATGCATCTATTTACTTATTAATAAAATAACATTCAGTCTCCATTTCCAAGTCCTCTTCTGTTTTCATTTTTTTGCATTTATAACAATTGTAGACTTCACCGCTTTTGGGCAGGTGACAATGCCAATTCAGCATAGTAAACGTAATATTTCTGAAACACTGATGCATTTGGGAATTATATAAACCTAGAAAACAAGTCTTAAAAACTTTGAAGAAATTCTGTGCATCAATAATAAAGATATCAATTGATTAAGAATAAAACGAAATCCTAGACAGTCGGAAGCACTAGATTTACCGCTTTCCCCAAATGTGCTTGAATTCTTTCCATATTTAGCTTGCCTTTATCTGTTTCCTTATGTTTGCTACCTAATTCTGAAAAATTTGAAAAGTTGAAAATTTAATAGGTCACCAGACCATGCTGGTTTCGCTTTCATTTGCAACCTCTATCTTGTATAAAGAAATAGTATTAAGCAATCGTATGTAAGGTATGATAATTAAGCTGGGAATTGCGTCCATGATAAATGGAAAAACAAAAGAACTTTAACCAAAAAAGGAGCCGCAGGGATCGACATTAACGGTTGTCCGATTGCCCGGGACAAGTAAATTCTCAGTTCGGGCAAGTGAAATTGTTGACTTACTTGTCCGATCGGGCAAGTGAATTGTTCTCATACATTTTAATGTACATATTGATTTAATTTACATTAATTAATAAATAAAACAATAAACTGAACACTTGATTTCTGTCACGCACCTGACTGACAATGTTTTTGAATTCGAAATTCCCTGGAAGCGTTTCTGGATTATACCGTTCACTTAAAAATCGGGTTCGTTATTTTCTTTCGTAATAAATATACTCTATGTCTAACAAAATTTTATTAACTTCTTATTAGGAAATTAGATTATTTATTTATGCACAGAATATATAAGTACAGTATAACACGATGTATCCTGATCAAGATAAGATGTATGTTTCGTAGCAACTATCTTCATTAAGTGTTGCTTCGCAGTTATCTCTGAAAATCACGAATCACAAAAGGATCCTACCGAAAATAATTTTTTTTAATACATGAATTTTATTAAAAGGAAATGGAGGGTTAATGCTGCATGGCAGTACGTGTTAACAGGTTAAATTTTACAAGTACAGCGGTATACATTTATGTACAAATGCAGCATCTAAATTTTTTTCAGGTAGCTCAACTTGCCAAATTGACAGTTGTGTATTTGGTCACATTTTTTCTTATCATAACATCTACAAAAATTAATAATTTTCTTCTTAATTTCTTTCCTAATTTTGGGCAACCAAGTTTAGCATTTGGACAAGTCAAAGTCTAAGATCACTTGCCCGAAGGGCAAGTGGATCTGAAACTTAATGTCTATCCCTGAGCCGGTCCTTTGGACTGATATCAATAGCATTTTTACTGGTCACAGGCATTTTTTGCCGGCATGACCGGCAGTTTTCCACCACTCTGCATCATTTTAGATATCTAAGCCCCTCTAATTGGGGGATGTTAAGAGCATGTATATGTATGCACATAAATGTGGGATATCTATTTAAGAAATAATGTATCATTTTTTAAACATCTATCGGGATATAAATACGGGTTGGTCAGGAGATCAAATTCCATAAAGCCCGAAGGGCTTTATGATAAATTTGATCTCGTACCAACCTGTATTTATATTCAGATAGATGTTTTAAAATGATACATTATTACTTATATTTACATTTATGACTTATTCATATTTAATATCTTCCTGATTATAATCTTTACTGCGTGAAATGTTTTATTTTTCAAACTTAACGGCACGTATTTGATCCATTGAATGCGGGTCGACCCTTTATGACGTCACTGAGAAATTATGTCAAACGTTTATGATGCGAGGAACCTGTGTTTATACGGATATAGATACACATTGATTTTAATAGTGTTATATAAAAGAAATCATTTGCAAATGTAAATATAGGCCTATACAGTGTTATGATTAGGATCTACTATGCCAAAATAGCAATCATGGCGCACGAGGTGGAAGCTTTTAATCTAGTATCATGAATATTACACATGACATATTGTAACCTTCATCTGTATAAGAGCAAATCAAAGTGTTCATTATCATTTGAAGTTGGTGAAACACACCATCAAATGTTAAAGTATCACAGGTCATATCACACATCCTTTTCTCTACATGGTTTTGTAAACATGCCACATTTTCCACATAAATTTTTACCACAGATCAATTTTAACTATGCAACAAAAGTGATTTCATATTTACTTATTTACACTTACTGAACAAACAGAAAAACATTACCATGGTAAATTAGGATTTGATTTTTCTGTTTGTGTTGGATCTTTCGTTGACATTTTTTCCCGGCAATTTTTCACCAACTCTCGTTGAAATCACGTGATAGACGAGATTTAAACAAGATTCAAGATGGCGAAAGTCATTGGATATTTTCCGTCGTTTGTCATCCGACTTCAGTGTTTGATGTTTACCCAAATGATGACGTGAATTGTAAAAGTCTCAAACTGTCGGACAGTATGCACAGAAACAGTATATATCGATAAATAGGTGACAAAATGTCCGATTCATCAGACGCAGAAAACGAAGTCGTCGAGAAAACTTTGAAAAATGTGGAATTCATACAAACTATGATAGATAGCACTGCCAAACTGCTACTAGGTTTACGAAACGAATGCGCAGCCACTAATGATTTAACACAGAATGAAATTAGAGAGCAAGAAGTGAGTACAGAGGTTGAATTTAAGACACAGTAACTGCAAGGTAGATACGGACTAGAGGAGGTGCCAAGTATTTTGCAGGTCTTTCTTGTTGGGTTTTGACAAATTCTAGCCCAAAATTCTATTTTTGATTTATTTTTATTTTGAGGTTAATGTTAAAGATGCATGCTAAGATAAACAACTAGTTTAAATTCTCTGGATCATGCATTGCAACATGGGATTTTCAAACGGAAGATACAATTGGCTTTTCACATGCATGGTTCTTTTTTGCTAAGCATTTATGAATTGTCTCTGATTTTACAAGCCCTTAGGATTTTCCTTAATATATGTTGACAATTTCTTGAGATCTTTTGCATCTATAAGTCTAAAAGACTTGCTGCTGAATAATCAACAAGTACAGGTGATTATAAAGGTTGATATGTTAAACAGTACTTGACACCACTTTGGACCAGTATTTCATGTGCATAAGTGGGTATATACAGTGTATTTGATTTGAAGAGAATATTGTTCAAAACACTTCATTTTGACCTACTATATCATATGTTACAATGACTGATGCTGAAGTATATGGAGTATTAATGTCACACTATACCTGTCTATATGGTTATCTCTCCCAAATAATGATAGTTGAATTGCAGATTCCTTTTTTTTAAAACAAAAAAGTATTCAAAATTTGTTAAATGTTAATTTTGTTCTACAGATGTATTTACATTGATTTTTCTTAACCTGGTAGCATATAATCATGATTATGACAGTAATTTTTATTCTCCCATAGAATTATTGATAACATTTAACATGTTGATCTTCATGTGCTTTACTTGCAGTAAAGTGTTTTGGAAATTTTAATTATTTCATTTTTAGTATCAACCAATGTCAACTCCACCAGGGCTACACTATTTTACAATAAATTACAATGTATTACACCTTAATACAACAAGGCATATGTTTCCCCGGAATAGGCCATTCCAAGTTTTTTTTTTCCTCTGTTTAATGTCCACCTATCTCATTCAGAAAGCCTACCTATTTACAAAAAAAAAAAAAAAACATATAAAGCAATAAATGAAACACGCTTTTCAGTCGCCAGCTTTATACATTTGTGCAAAAGTTACAGAGACCAAAATTGAAATTTTTTGTCCTATACTTTCTGCAAATTTGAATTCTAATGGAATTGAACAGAGCTTTGATTTTGTAGAATAGTTCATTCTCAAGTCATAGCTGTTACCTGAACTGTGAAGCAAAGAATTGAAAAAGACAATTCAAATTTTGCTCATGTAATACTTAATATTGTGATGGTACTAATCCATGGTGAAAATTGGCAAAACTATAAGAAATGTGACAAGAGAGTGTTCAGTTAAAATTTGTAAAATTTTAAGGTTTTATTTAAAATGCACTCATTAGTTTTGCTAAATACATTGCTATACTTTGAAAATTACAATTTAGAAATTGCAATAAGAACTATGTGGGACATCTCATTTTGTCCTCGTTTTGGTATTTTGTACTATTTTTTCGTTGAGTATATAATAAACAAATTACAACAAAGTATAAGTTCCATTTTAATTTATGGAAAATGTTGTTATTCATTTTTCTATCATTTTTTTTTTAAATAAAACAACATTTTTCAGATTTATATATTTTTTTACTTTCTGTCCTGGTAATATTAACTAGTGAATTTGAAATCTGCCAGTCATAAAACCTCAGGTATCAGTTAAAGGATTTTTGATAACATTATTCTATTTTTCTTGTAGAAAGATATATCCCTTTGCAAATGAAGATAGTAAATGCTAAGTATATACTTCTTAAATAAATTCTCAAAAAATATAGAAAGAATTTGAGAGCACTGAGAGGTTTCCACCAGAATGAATAATTCCTAAACTTTTGATTTTATGTTTTTTGTTGTCTGAGGTGTCGGAAACCAGTTAAGGTCCAGATGGACGCAAAACATAGAATAAACTTGGAATGGCCCAGCAATTAATGACACATAATAATGACACACATTACTGGTATAGTAAATAGTAAGCATTGTTTAAATCGTGAATTGTATATACATGTATTATTAGTCAGAAACCATGTAATAAATAACATTTTTGATTATCAAATCAGTAAAGTTTGAACAGGGAATTGAATGTGTTGAGATTGGATTTTTTAAGTCTTTGTATGCTCTTATACAGCTTACAAGCTTATGAAGTGACATGTACATAAATATCTGTACTTGCACTCTATCTAGCATAATAAAGACTTCTCTTGAAACTTTATCATAAAATGTTCATAATCAAGATTTTGGAGGATGGCCATTTTATCAATTTTTATTTTACTGTGAACTCCTTATAATAGGTATTTTAAGATTTTCAATTTAGAGGATTTATTCTATTGGCAAAATTCTGCTAAAATAGACAACTGCAGAAAATATCCATTAAATATACAGTTTTTGTGTGTTAATGCTCGACTTCTTTTCATTTAACAAGGCATATTACAAAATATTTAAACTTAGATAATGGATTTGCTGTAATCTGTAGTGATTATATGACTAATAATTGTAAAATCAGAAATATTTCTGAGAGCTTTCAAGTCTGCTCTGCAGAAACCTATATCTGAGGTCTCATTGCCAGCATTATTGTGTTGACATGGGTATTATGACACCTGAGTATTGTCGCCTTGACTAGGGCAGCTCTTTTTGTGGTTGATATATATTTAAATGACACATTCCAAGCATTCCTACAACAGGAATTCCAAATAAACACAAGAAAATTTCATATCACACACCAGTAGCCATTTAACATTTCTCTGTTACCTGTGTGAGGCTCTGGATGTAATTATTAATACCAAATTTGTACATAGGTCCTCGATTGTTTTATTGCTGTACTTTATAGCATCAGTATTGTTCACAAGATTCACTTCCTAGAAGGGAGTAATAAACAAGTATGTGATCTGACTAACGGTGAACAATGACAGCTAAGCTCAGTCAAATGTTACCATGTCTGAACCTTTGCCCCCTGTATCAACAGAACATGCATTGTTTAGTCAACATTTATTTACCCGCTTAACACATTTGTAATATAGTTGATACATTTTGGTTATATACTATAATGATACATAATAGTTGGCTACTGTTGTGTGGGAGATATTCCTCATTAAAAAAAAAAAAAAAAAGAATTATCTAATTCTGGTTAATTAAAAATAAAAATGTTATTGGTTTTATTTTTTACCTTTTTTTAAAAAAAAAGTTGCTAGCTGAGTGTAAATTTTGTTGTACTATATATGCAACATGTTCCAAGAGCTATGTACAATGATTGTATAATAAGTATGACTATGTGTTACTATTATTTGAATTACATACATGTAGAGTAGGTTTATAATCTTTGAAAAAAAATAGTATGAAGAATTAAAAGTATATTAAAGTACATTTGGCATTTGAAACAAATGGGAAGGTGTTTAATTATTTTTACCTGTGTTTTTTTAAGGGCTTCGCCCGTTATGCAAATTATCCCACATTTCCAACTATTGTTAATGCCCTGGCATACCCAACAAACTCAGCAATGATTCCTTACATTTACATTTATACGGGAAACAAAAAATGTAAAAATAAATCAAAAAATACTTTTAGAATTGGAGTACATGGAGTATTCCATGTTAATTTCCATAGTCCCGCCCACTGACATCAGACACAATGACAACCCGGGATTTTGACATGCAAATTAGACATTGACCTTTCCTTTTGCAAAATTTACATTCAGTTGTAAATATTGAGAAAGTAACACACTTAACTTTCAAAGAGTTGGAAATGTAGGTATAAATATTAATACAGGTGAACTTCATTATCTCGAACACCAATATCTCAAATACAAGGGATATGTCAAAGTGATTTGGTAGTACGTTCCAAGCACTTTTTCTTTGTTTTTTTAACCTCATTATCTCGAATCCTAGGATATCCTGAAGTTTGATCTTAGTCCTGTTGAGTTCAATATGACTAGGTTTGACTGTATTTATATCCAGTAAACGTTTCAGTACATGTATCTTTTATTTGATTTCAGAGCAAGTTGCTGAAGCTTTTCAGCAAGCAGTTAGTACAGACAGCAAAGGTTGATCCAGAGAACACTCAGGAAAAATTGTCTGGCTATCCTAAAACTGACCAATGGCTGACGGTGGTGGGTCTCCCAGAAAATGCTGTACAGGTTGGTTATTACTTATGTAGGTGGTGACAGAAGAGTCTAAGAGCTTATGTGTTTGTATTACTTGAGAGACAACACAAGCTCAGATTTTTTGGTCATAACATAAAGTGAGAGGTATACTAACACAACATGGACTAATAGTATATTAAGAGATGGAGAGTCACACCCAGATTTTTTTTTTTAAAAATTTCTTTCTTTGGGGGGGGGGGGGGGGGTAAGCATCAGAGATTCTAGCAGCAGTAGTGAAAAATAAAAGGATACCTTTCAACAGAAATGAACTGCTGCCATAGGCAAAGCACAAACTCTGCACTATGGAGGATAATGTGAGATTCCTCTGACACAAACACCCTCCATTTTTGTTTGGATGTCACTCAAGTAGCTACCCCCTGTAAAATTGCAATAGATAAGGATGGTGTTTTCTTTGGAGAAGTTTTGGATTGTAATGAGGATAGTGAACAAGTTATATTTGGATTTTTTTTTTATTTTGAACTCATTTTAAATATGTGTTAAAAGACTTAAGGGGCTAGTCTTTCTACAAGCACATGTGACTATTACTATACGAAGCCCCCCCCCCCCCCCCCCTCCCCCAGCTTACAACTCAGAGTGACTTAAATTTAAAGACACATTCATTTTCTAGGGTACATAATTATGATAAACAAAATGTGCAAATGATGTTTATTTTACTAGATTAGTTTTGGTCATTATTGTATGTAAATTTTTATGAGAAATATCAGATTATGTCCTCAAGGTGATCAGGAAGAATTATCTACATGTTCGTGATGTTTAGAAACTGGAATCCCCCTCGCCTTCCATATTAGGATATATAGTAACTCAGAATGATGTAGGAGTGCATTATACATGCTTTACAACTTTAAACATAAGTGTTCCACTTGAGTTCAAGTTCTGTTTGAGGAACTTCAAAAGACTCATTCTAATTTTGGCAATGATATTAAACTGTGAAAAAATAAAGCCTAAAAAAACTGATTCAGTAAGCACTTTATTGTTAAAGATTCCATCTTTGTTTGTCCCTTTTTTATGGCTATAAACTCCCACCTTTTCTTAGTTTGTTTCAGACCTATCTTAGATGTACTAGACTAAGTATTCATTGTTAGGGAAATTTTAATTTGATTTGATTTTAAATATTCTATTTCTATAAGAATAATCATAATTGTAAAGAAATTTTGTGAAAAACTTCATACAGATTTACAGTTATGTGCATTATTAATGTAATATAGAATTTGTCCTTGGTTTATTCAAGTTGAACTGAGTTACTCATGAAGTGTAGATGCAGTCATTCTAGTATGATAAAAGGACCAATTCAGGGTACTGTAGATCACCTTATTTTCGGGACACCTTATTTTCGCGAGATAGTCATTTACTCTTTATTAGCGAGAAGAAATTTTCACGAATTGTGGTTATTGCTGTATATTATCTTAAGGAATGTTATTATACGTGAGAATGAAATTTTTGTGAGCACACTGTCTCGCGTAATTAAGTGAAAATAAAGTTCTCGCGAATAAAAAGTGATTTACAGTATATAACATTAAAAAAATAATTGTTTCAAATAGTCCTTTGAACAACATGATTCACTGAGGGACATATCAGTGCACTTGAAAAAAAATAATTATCCACAAATCTGGTATCATTACAGAAGTTAATGCTTGAGCATTGAACAGGCATTATTTTTAAGAAAAAACTGAATTTGACCATTTTTTTTTTTCTTCTTATGTTCATATAGAACACTAAAGTGTGATTTTTGAAGTATCACATGAATCCAATACTATAAAATAATAATAATACAATAAAATTTTGGGGAAAATATTGTTGTGGAAGTTAATCATTACGGAAGTTAATTTCCAGTAATAAAAGTTGAAATTCTCCACAATAGATAAAATTTACGTTTGTTTATAGATCTATGTTAATCAAAAGTAAGCAATATTTCACTCCCAAAATAATTAAAATTTTTATTCCTTTAACACAATAACATTCCTGAATTACCGTTACGGAAGTTGAATTAATAAGAGAGACAACTGCTTTTGTCTAATTCAAGGAGATGAGTGAACATGACAAGCGATAAGCCTATAGTGTGACAAACATGAAAATGAAAACTTAAATATCAATTATGTCAAAATTTTCCTTGATATTTCGTCTAACATTAAATATACTTTGCGTAAAATCTCTACAATTTGCAAAAATCCTTCAAAGATTGAAATTATTTGCCTGTGAAATATTAGACACACACTAAAGCGGGCAAAAAGAGTCATTTTCGCATACTATAACACTATTTTTCTATATGAGTGGGTCTTCACATTTTTGAAAGTAAATCTTCAAAGTTTGCATAAAAATATACATTTTTTGGTTACCAAAAATATGGAGCAATGACCCACTATACCTTAAAAATATACTTTTATGACATAACATTCGCATCTTTTCGAGAAATGCTTGAAGTCCATTAAGTCAAGGGTCATATCACAAACATGATTTAAATGCCACTCTTCATCAGGACTTGTGTAGTCTAGTGGTTAGCGTGCTAGTCTCGAAAGAAAATGATACTCAGGATTTTTATTGCTAGGGTTCGAACCCCACGAATACCACATTAATTTTTTTAATAAAAGAATAAATTTTTCCGAGAAAATTTTCCTCAGAAAAGTTTTGTTTATCACAATTTCATAAAAGCGAAATATTAAATTCACAAACCGAACATGATTTTTATATTTCTGAATCTATAGGCTTTCTGCACGCTATGTTCGCCCATCTCCTTTGTTATGTCAAAATTGTAATGGTCTAAAGTAGCTGACTTGCAACTAGAATTGATGATATTAGGTTCCATGTCACTTTTAGGTAAGTTTTAGTTCTTTGTAAAATGTGCATTCTGTGCATTTAATTTACTATAAACAAAATTGTTATGGAAGTTAATTAAGTTTTAGTGACAAACTATGATTCATATGAAAGAAGATCCATCATGATGCATTTCTTCACGAGAAGTGGTTTGTTTTCTTTTTATATAGGGAAAAAACTTTTCTTTAGATTCCTTTCATTCTTCTTTGAATGCTTATACAGCTGAAAATTTCTGATCATCTTGAAATTTGTAAATGAATGAAGAGACATCAAGATTTGCAGTGGAATATGTATATAAACATTATACTATGCTCATATCAAAACTTTAACACTAAATATTTACAAAACCATGTGTCTATTTCAAGTTTTAGAGTTGAAATCGCTCTTTAAAATTACAGTTAAAAAATTACAAACTTAAGGTAAATTTGTAAGCGACATAAAAAATTCTTAATTGGGCATGTTTTTGTAGAATGACCATTTGATCATCCTTAGTGTATTTTTCCAATGATCTAGTATACAGTAGATCTTCTAGCATGACAGGATCCACCGTAGAATATGTGGAATCTTAATTTTGATCAACTTGAATATAAGTTTAGTTATTATACGTCTATTGATTTTTCTTTATATACATATGTAAATCAATAAAATTGATATATTTTGCTGATTCACTGAAAATCACCGAAAATATTCTGATTCCCAGCAAAAAAGGTGTGTCAGTTTGAAGAACTGACACACACTTACTCAGAACCTCAGAACACCTAGTAATTTCTTCAAATCTTGTTAAAAGTTCTGATATGTTCTGAATAAAGTCTTGTCAATGAATATTCATTATAAAAAAGAATTGCATGAAGAGTTAATTAGACAAGTCTGTTCTTTGTATCTGTAGTATAAAACAGTTAAAAGTATATTCTTGAGGGAGTCAACAAGATTCCAGTTCCTCACGAGCAAGCCTATTTCCCTTTGCTTTGCAAGAATCTTGCTGACTCCCTCATTGATGTACTTTAACTGTATAATGACATGAATTGCAATATGTATGTTGATAAGTAATGTAATCTGAAAAAGACCATAGAAGATTTTTAACAAGATCAGTCATGTAGAATTTGATAGGTTTGAAGAATTATAGTTAGTTCTGTTTACTGTTTAGGAAATCCTGAAGAGGGATATCAAGCTGGGAATGTTACTGCAGATGTCGGAGGATGAGGTACAAAGTTTGCTTCAACGATTTAACACTGCAGAGGAGGACATTACCAAGCTCAACACAGCCCTTAGAAACCTCAAATTATGGACAGGTAATATTGCCTTCACAAACTTAAAATCATGAACAGGTAATACAACTGTATTGCTCTCAGAAATCTCAAGTTATAAATAATAATAGAGGTCTCTGAAATATCATAAAAGAGATAGGAAGTACACATTTTATACTAATAAAAAAAGGGACAATGATTTCTATTTTGCATATCCTTACAGAGTGTCTTAGTGTTTTGTTTTTTAAAAAAAATGCTGCTGACTTTACAGGGCGTGAGCAGCATGGAGGTCTGGCTGATAGCGATATTGAGCTTCACTGGACACAGTACCGGTCACCTTCCAGTAGCCCATACAACAGTTCCCCAAACAACCCCTCATCAGGTCGTCCCTCCACTTCATCTGAGACTTCTCAACTCCTCCCCACTCCACCTCACAGCACACCCTCATCGCCATCACCGGTCCACCAAGAACGACAGTATAGGTCAGTACAAAAGTTATATATAGACACACCCTCATTGCCATCACCAGTGCACCAGGAATGACAGTATAGATCAGTACAAGAGTTATATAAACACACCTTCATCGCCATCACTGGTTCACCAGGAATGACAGTATAGATCAGTACAAAACATACATAAACACACCCTCATCACTTTCAACAGCCCATTTGGAACAACAGTATAGGTCAGTACAAAAGTTATGTCAACAGACACTAGAGGTAAATGCCCACTGCTCCTCTCTCCAATTGTCCTTAAAAATGATATTAAAGGCTTGTACAAAAGTCATCCTTTTATCTTGTTCAAGTCAGTAAACATCATACTCCATGAATAGTCTATCAGAAATGACAGGTCAGTTATAAAAGTCCTCAAGAATATGTAGTATTCATCACCAGTCAATGGTAAAAGACTGAAGTGGTCATTAAAAATCCTCTTTATAATTACAATTCAGTAACAAACAAAAGTTAGGATAGAAATCAAATTTTACCAAAGATTTCTGATTTAGATGTATAAAAACGGTTACTGGTACTTATTGCTTTCAAATATATGTAAATATTACATGGATGACCATTTTGATATGCGTAATTTCATTATAAATGATGTTTCAATCTCACCAAAATAAATTACTTAATATAGCTCATTGCATGATGATTTTTGTAAAAACAGTTAACGATTCCCTGGAGTTCTTCAAGTTTGATCAGTCCTGGCAATTGACCACAAAAACAAAAGTTGATATAAACAAATACACTAAGTAATATCAAAGAATTATTATAGAATTATTTGAAATGTGAAGAACAAGATAATACTAAATATCCAGGGGCAGATCCAGAAATTTTTGAAAGGGGGGGGGGGGTTGTTTTGGATAGTATACCGGTATTAACCTCAGCATGGAGCTTTGATAAGAAAGTGAAAATGAATTAAAAACACTTGTTGGAACTATAACATTATTTTACAACTCTAATTCAGTAACATGTTCTATAAAAAATATGACAACTAATTCAGTCCTGACTCTATATTTACAATCTCAGTGGCACATTCAGACAAAATGTGTGTGTGTGAGGGGGACCTTGAGGCTCCCAGTGAGTCCAGGGCAAAGGTTTGGTGGGGATACAGTGGGCAAAGTCCTCTGGAGCTTTCAGATTCTAGCAAATTTGAAAGAAAGATTTTTTAAAACTACAAAACATAAATCCTAAGACTGCATCGATGTATTTTAATATGAATTTTACATTTAGATCATATACAGTATTATATTTTGCAAAAGATGGAAATCTATGATAAATGCTTCATTTCATTTTTAGTAAACCAAAATATTTAAGAATATATACATGTGTATACAATATATACATGTGAATTTTTCAAATCAATTTTTGATTTTTTTCTTTGTTGAAGAGGCCCAATACATGTATATACACTACATCAAAAAAAATTATTTTCCAAAATTGTTTTTTCTTACAATCTGATTTATTATAAACATATAGAAATAAATGCTTTTTATGATATTCTAACCGAGTTGAAGTGAAGAAAGTTCACCCCTGTTCATCCCCTAATATTTTTAGATTACAAATGCCATTGTGCATCAAATGTTCTCATTTTAGTATGCAAGAGTGTCACATGATTATATAAAATTTGCTTTACAGAATTACTCCTCCAGCCACACCCCCTACAGTGCGACCAATACAGCATAACACAAATTCACTGATCCCCAGTACCCCACCCAGCAGGATCAAAGTCAAAAGTCCCCCCACCACCGTCCCCATGACAACAAGCAAGTCCTACACCAATCTACATACCAACCTCCACATCAAAGTGGTGGATGTGGATGGAATCAACAAGTAGGTGGATCCAGGGTTTTCAGTGTGTGTAGAATGCTGGCTTAAGCTGATTTCATTTATTTGTTACATTATATCATTTAAAGAAATATCAGATCTATGTACTTAATATTGCTTTTCAGATTGCTGGATATAAAAAATGGAAGAGGGGGGGGGGGGGCAAAGTTTTGTCTTGATAAACAAACAAACAGTTAGAAAAATGAAAAAAAATGTATTTTGGCAGTCTGTTACGTCCAACATTGTGTTACTTTAGGTCAATTTTTAATTTTAACTTTCCATAAGTGTTGGGAAAATGAAAGGAAAATTTTGTTGGGGATGGGGGTTGGCAAAAGAAAGTAATTTTGTAAAAGTTCAAATCACAAGATTACCAAAGAATGTAATCACAAGATTATCAAAGAATGTAAGTACTATGGGAAGTTGGTTTATTACAATTATTCTCTGCCAGTCAAAACTAGATTTGGTCAAAAATAAAAAAATAATTTGTTTGATGTACTTTGACCAATCCATCAAAATTGCCCCTACCTAATGATTTGAATTCTTTTTAATTCTTTTGTTTCTGGGGAAAACAAATCACCCATATTGCTTTTAAAGTTCAAGTTTATGATTTCTCTTAGATGCTTTTTTAGATTGAAAGGTTTTACAGCAATAAATATTAAATCTGTCTAGTAGTTTTAGTGTATAATGAAAACATCAATTAATTGCTGTCTGTGATTTTTATATTGTTTATCATTGTGTTAGATAATTAAAAAAAAAAAAACTATGCTACTTACTTACCTACCTTGAAAAAGTGGGTCGAAGTGCATCAAACAAACTTTCTAATGATGGCCTAGGCAACATTCTTGTTAAGTTGGGACAGACTATGACATACATGTACATCATTTAGGATAAATTCAGGGTATTTTCAATGGTTGAGATTTCTCTGAGAGATTTCTTGGTGTCTGAGTTTTCTCAGTGTCTGAGATTTCTTGGTGAGTGAGATTTCTCTTTGAGATAAAGCTGTGTCCAAGATTTCTCAGTGTCATATAAGATTTCAATATTTGTCAAACATGCTTATTGTAGATCATCATTGCACACATTACTATTTTTTCTTGAATTTTAATTTTTTTCCTTTTCTGGTGATTAGCTGCACGGCGCTGATTTTGGTGTGTTTTCTTGTCTTTTAGATTTAACAAACACTTAATTACTAGACCGTCCCATCCGCCCTTGATTAAGTCCTATTCGGAAGAGTGAGTGTTACTTGTGGTGTGTTAATTAAGGCATAATTAACATGGAATGTCTGATCATCGCTTCTTTTCTCATTAAAATCTTGCTGATTGTTCTCTGAATTTGACTATTTGGCTTGTAGTTTCTAGTAACTTTTCTTATTACAGCTGTTCAATATATCCTATAAACATTAAGAGGGAATTCTTAACATATCAGAGGAATGTATTGTTAACAATATTATGTACTTGAAATTGTGTACTAGGTTTACTTAATATGTGTTCATGTATTAATCATTTTAGTTGGTAATTTTTTTTTTTTAGACAGCACAGTTTCTCAAGCTTAGCTGTTAAATAGATTGAGAACTTTAAGTTCGTCATGCAAAATGTTTGCTTGATAAAAATAGATATCAGTTATACTTACATAATAAACAAGAGATTTGCAATTGGAATGAAACAATCTTCTACTCTAGCCTATTCTAAATCTAGAAGCTTTAAAAACATGCACATTTCCAATACTATTTTACTAATGAATGCATTTAAATTGAACTCCTATGGGATTGTAAAACATTTAAGAAAGGAAGCGTATTTCACTGAAATGTACACTGAATACCTAAATCTGCACTGTAATTAATTGTATGTGTCAATTAGAAGTCATCACATTCCATATTCACTGTGTATGTCAATGATGTACTGTTTGTATTGCGACACAAAGTAACACAAGAGTTACCCCCATTGAATTCTATTACTTAACTAAGAAAATTTCAGAGGGTATACCATAACTTTATATATCAGTCAGTACTGTATCGTTAAATTTTATTTATAAAGATGATAGTATAGTTCAAAAAAGTTTATTACATGTTGCAATTAATTTCAAATTATTAATTTGCTTTGATGAATTAGTGATTCATATTAATTAGAATTTAGATAATTGAGTGGCTCCACTATTGTCTTACAAATTGAAAAAAAATATTAATGCTAGTCTTGTTTACAGAATTTGGTAAATAGCTCACCCATAACAAGAGTATGAAGTGCACTTAACAGTATTTAGTGTCAACAAAATATTTATTTCATCTTTGAAGCTCTTTTCACTCAGAAATGACATGTATCATTTCCATTAATAATCAATGTACAAGTAATTTAAATAGCGCAAGACATTAACTTTTAAGCATGATTTTAGCATAGAAAAATGAGAACTTTTAGTAAAAATCTAAGCCATGGCTTAATTTTTATAATAATATGAATAGCTAGACAAAAAAAAACAACAACTTGCATTTCTTAATATGAAGTGTTGAACAGACATGGCATTGTGTTTAACTACAGGCGAAGGAAAAGGCCAGATCTGACGCTGGACAACACACATGTGGTTAGAAGGCCGTCCAATGAGGACCCCCACCCATCACCCTCACAAACTTCTCCCTCATATCTAGACAGTGAGTATACAGAACTGTGTGTTTGAAAAGCTACCCCATTTAGGACCTACCTGTCACAGTCACAAACCTCTCATACATGTACCTAGGCAGTCACAAACCTCTCATGTTAGATAGTGAGTGTACAGAATTATCCCAGACAAACATTACAGACATTACCTCCAACTTTATACATACTTAATATCTCATTGAATCATGAACAAAACCTCCACTCCTTACACCTCTACACTATAATTCTACCGGTACTTAAGTAACTGTTTTCATACATAAGACATGTATTATGTTACATTTTAGTAAACTATAATAACAGGAATCTATTTATGGTAGATTTTACAGTGTTACCAGACATCTTTTATCTGTGCACATTAGCAGGGATTTATTGTAATGCCAGTATTTCTTTATGTTTCAGATAACCTCAGTATTCCTCGGTCTCCTAAATTTGTTCACAGGTTTGAGACTTTTTAGCAAAATTTTGTAATTATTAATTCAGATTGAGTTTTAATTGATGTTTTTCATGCATGAATAAGGTTAGGATGGTCAATTTATATTATGGAGTAACATTAATTCTCTTGTGAAATAAGGTAAATATACAATGTACAAAATTGTAAAAAAGGAATATATTTTAAACCAGAATGCCATTTTGATGATAATGCCTTTGTACTTATTTTTTGTGAATTCTGCCTTGTCCTAGGATATCAAACACTTTTAAGATTACAACTTGTGACTTCTGTCATAAACAAATGTTTCTGGGATACAAGTGTAAAGTGTGCAAGTAAGGGAGCTAACTGTTGTTAAAGTAGAACCCATGTTGTGAGATTTCAGATGTGTAAAATGTTTTTCAGATTTTCCTGAAAGCATGAAAGATGAATTTGGCTAGTAAATATATTGAATGAAAGACATTTTACACATTGATAGCTTCAGAAATGTTGTGGTTGTAGATTTTTTTTTTATATTACTTTTTTTAAGCTACTTCTACCTACACAAGATCACTCCAACCTCACTTTTTGTGTTGTGTCTTTAGTTTCACTTTGCGTTGTGTTCTATTCTAGATTTAAAAAAGGCTACATAATGAGTGGTACATGTGAAGTCTGTTCAAAGCAGATTTACTTCATGGGAAAGACGTGTAAAATTTGCAAGTAAGTTATGGTGCCCTGTTTTAAGTTACAATGGGTCGTACTAATCTGTTATCATTTGGTAACAAATGGTAGTGAACAATCTCAACAGCATTAGAGCTAAGTAGTCTTAATAGTTTATCAAATGAATGGAAACTATAGCTTTCATGGGCTTGTCAGAAGAAATAAATAAATTTTTATCAATATAAAGTGATCCTTCAAAATTAATGAAATATTGCATTCTAACATTTAAAGGAATTAGATATTTCTGTTGTTTACACATTATTTTCATCATGTTTTGCTTTACCATATAAATAAGGGCTATCATGGATGAGAATTTAAGTACCAGACTTCCATTAAAAAAATTCTGAATTTTATGCAATATCTTTTCAAAAGTGAAATTTTAGTGAATCATTTATAAACAAAATGCACCACAGTTTGGAAAATTTAATTTCTGTATATATGTGACTCATGCTGAATTAAACATATAACGGAGACTACATTATACCATGCTCAGCATGCTGGCTAGGATAGCAGACATTACATTATACTATGCTGGCTAGGATAGTAGACATTACATTGTCATGTGCTGGCTAGGATAGCAAACATTACATTGTCATGTGCTGGCTAGGATAGCAGACATTACATTGTCATGTGTTGGCTAGGATAGCAGACATTACATTATCATATGCTGGCTAGGATAGCAGACTTTACATTTTCATGCTGGCTAGGATAGCAGACATTACATTATACTATGCTAGCCAGGATAGCAGACATTACATTATACTATGCTGGCTAGGATAGCAGACATTGCATTGTTATGTGCTGGCTAGGATCGCAGACATTACATTTTCATGTTGGCTAGGATAGCAGAGCATTACATTATCATATGCTGGCTAGGATAGCAGACATTTCATTGTCATGTGCTGGCTAGGATAGCAGACATTTCATTGTCATGTGCTGGCTAGGATAGCAGACATAACATTTTCATGTGCTGGCTAGGATAGCAGACATTACATTATCATATGCTGGCTAGGATAGCAGACATTACATTGTCATATGCTGGCTAGGATAGCAGACATTGCATTGTTATGTGCTGCTTAGGATAGCAGACATTACATTTTCATGTTGGCTAGGATAGCCGACATTACATTATCATATGCTGGCTAGGATAGCAGACATTACATTGTTTGCACTGGCTAGGATAGCAGAAATTACATTGTCATGCTGGCTAGGATAGCAGACATTACATTTTCATGTGCTGGCTAGGATAGCAGACATTACATTATCATATGCTGGCTAGGATACCAGACATTACATTGTCATGTTGGCTAGGATATCAGACATTACATTGTCATGCTGGCTAGGATAGCAGATATTACATAATACTATGCTGGCCAGGATAGCAGACATTACAATGTCATGTGCTGGTTAGGATAGCAGACATTACATTGTCATGTGCTGGCTAGGATAGTAGACATTACATTTTCATGTGCTGGCTAGGAAAGCAGACATTACATTGTCATGTGCTGCCTAGGATAGCAGACATTACATTATCATATGCTGGCTAGGATAACAGACATTACATTGTCATATACTGGCTAGGATACCAGACATTACATTATCATATGCTGGCTAGGATACCAGACATTACATTGTCATGTGCTGGTTAGGATACCAGACATTACATTGTCATGTGCTGGCTAGGATAGTAGACATTACCAGTACATTGTCATGTGCTGCCTAGGATAGCAGACATTACATTATACTATGCTGGCTAGGATAGTAGACATTACATTGTCATGTGCTGGCTAGGATACCAGACATTACATTATCATATGCTGGCTAGGATACCAGACATCACATTGTCATGTGCTGGTTAGGATAGCAGACATTACATTGTCATGTGCTGGCTAGGATAGTGTAACTGTGAGATAACTGAAAGTATATATTGTGGTTCCTATCACTGTCATTCTACATTATAATAACACACAGTGATGATTACATAATGAAATATCTGTAAGGAGTAAGTCTTCAAAATGTCTACAAGTATTGATATTGCAGGGAACCATTGCAAGTCTAAGAATATTTCATATGGAGTTCTATTAGTGACAGCCCTTATTTGAGTATAAGTGTACCGATTTTAGCAAGAAAAATTTATATTTTAGTTCCTCTGGCACAATAGTTAGTGCACTACTGAGTACCATTTGAATGTAGTAGGAAAATAACATAATTCATGTATATATGCAAAATGTACAGCTTTGTGTGTCTAGCTGAGGTGTTCATGATGATTTCTATCTTGAAAACCTTTACTATACATGTATATCCATTGTTGTTGGTGGTTTTGTATAATATAACATTTGTCTCTATATTTTCTTTATTTAGAACAAATTTTGAAAAGTTTAAGTTAAAACATTTGAATCAAATGATATTTTGAAAATAAAAAGAAAATTTCATTTATTAATCATTAAGTTTGTTTAGCTTGTAAAAGTTAGAATTATATGAAGTTGTTAATTTTTCTTGACTTTTCAATTTTATATGTATCAGTCTTATACTATAATGTCTGTAAATATCCTTGACTTTTAGGTTTAAATGTCACCGAGACTGTACAAGTCGTGCCCCGTCACAATGTTTACCAGATTTCTATTCCTTAGACCATAAACACAGAGACGGTAAGGAAATATCTGATAAAAAAGAAGTCAAGAAATTATTTAAACAATAAAATGCTTTCTTTGGTTGTTAGTATGGAAATTAATGTTGCAGCTGTTGCAGAAAAAATACATAACCTGCATAAGTGGGTTATGTTAATTTTTTTCTACAATAGCTGCAATGTTAATACTAACAAACAATGAGAGACATTTTATTGTTTATATTTATATCTGTATAAACAATCATTTAAAGTAGGATTAAATATTATACATGTATTATTGATATGTACGTCATTGTACGTTTCATTGATGGAAGAGCCACTACTCTAGAAATCTGTACAGGAGATATGCATAGCGGTATTTACTGACTGATAAACGACAATGGTTTTCTTAGAAAATAAACATGATTAAGGAGATAATATTCAGTGGATGTAAATATAGTAAAGAAAAGGCTTATGTTACACTTATCAAAAGAAGAGAGATTGACTCAATCATGCTAGGGTTGGACACTGGTACTTGGTATCCGTAACATACTGAGTAGTTGTTTCAAGATTACTGGTAAAATACCATTCCATTTAATATCGGTACCCGTATCGGTATTAAATCTTTTTTTTTCTATATATATTTAATGCTTAGGGTAAATTCAATAAGCCTTAATAGTTTCCAAAATAAAATTATAGATATTCCTACTCGTGTGTGTTGTAAGGTTACACTAATTAACAAAATTAGGCATACTGGGCTTTGCTTTGTGAGTTGTTTATCTTTATAATTAATAACTGATGAGTACACTTTTCAATAACATTTACATTGGCACTGCTAATTATATTTTGTTCTTATAAATTATTACAGATTACAAAATCAAATTTAGTTATGCTAAACAATGAAACCGATTACTCCCCAAATTTTCCTGTACTCATTGTCAAGTCATCTTTTAATGTTGCTGTAAAAAACATGGGTCTTAGACTCTCAGCAACTGCAAGAAGTGGTTTGTAGCAAACTTGTCATAATTGTGAATCTATTCAAATTGTACATTATTGTTTTAAATTATATTTACCTGTTTACTTTCTAAAATTTGTTTCTTACTTTTTCTTAAAACTTTTCAATGAAAACAGAAGTTATAAAGATATTACCTATATAATAATTATGTTGTCAAATCATATTTTTCAACAAAAAATATGAAAAGATCAAGGTATTATTAAAAAGTATTGTATCATTTCAAAAATACTGGCGTGGTATCGTAACGTTTCATTCTTAATGGTATCTAATCCTAACTCATGCGATGTACTTCTTTTAAAGTCCATGATTAGAAAATGAATTTAAAGTAGTTTAAAGAATAAAAGTGTCTGTAACATATTTAAGAGAAAATATTTTTTTGAATTTATGATACCCATAACTGTTATTTACATGCTGATGTATTAATATTTATTAAGATTACAATAAATGATTTGATTTACATTATTCCTTTATTTACATGTAGGTTCACCCAGTCCAAGTGCAGAAAGAAATGGCATTCATTTAAAACCCCATAAGAACAGTTCAGCTCCCGCTTTCCATAATACAGATTCCGGCTCCAATCCATCGTCATGTAATTCTTCCACCCCCTCCTCCCCCGCAACCATGAGGTATACACCCTCCCCTGCTAACACACAGGACTCTACAACTTTTGTTTATCCAGGTGAGGATTTTAACAATGTTATATTTTTTGACTTAGGTAAGGCCTAGTTTATTTTTTAACTTTATTGTTTAAGGCAGTGTAAAGTGTATTGATGACTTTTATTATTTTAGATAATGTAAAGTGTATTTATGACTTTTATTATTTTAGATAATGTATAGTTTTCATGACTTTTATTATTTTAGATAAATGTAGTGTATTTATGACTTACTAGTATATTGTGTTAGATAATGTATAGTATATTTATGACTATTATCATTCAGTATTTATTAAAACTCTTGACAGAGATTGTAAAATCCAGTGCTGATGGTGAAGTCTTCGTAGGAAAAGATTCTTCAGTGTCCAGTAGTAGGTCAGTGTCCAGCATAAAGTAAGTGTCCAATTAGTAAGTCAGTTATCTGACAAAAACAAGCAACTCAGAAATATACTAGGGGCAAACTGCTCAATCTGTATTCAGGTCCCGGGATCATGAAACATCTTAAGTAAAAAAAAAATGTATTTTATGCTCACAAATAATTTAGAAATCAATCAGTCCAAAATGAATATGCTTTTCAACTTTGCATCATTAAACTGCTGTTGTGTGCAAATTAAGAGTTTCAGTTCTCAAGAAATATACAATTATAGATGATTGAAATTTTGACTTAAGTGCAAATCTATTTCATGATCCCGAAGCCAGGAGTTAAAAAATCCTTTAGTTTAACAAAATTTTTTTAGAAATAAGTATAAGTGCATAAATTTTAAGGCTATAATTTTTTTGATTTGCCTTTTAAAATGATTTTATAAGGACATAATTTCATTTTTTGATAAAAATAAAACAGAATAACACTTTTTGGATGTGTATTTTGTTAAATATTTCATTTTGTTTACTTTTATTTCATTATTTTTACAGAGATGTCGTTGGTACCAATACATCAGATGATAGCAACAAAACATTAGTTGATGTAAGTAAAAATAATTATCTACAGAACGTCCTATACTAATCAGGTACTCTCACCATTCCATTAGCTATGGAAGACTCTGGGGCTCTGTTAGTAAAGCTTAACTATATACAGAATGTCCAATGCTAATCAGGGACTCTCACCATTCCATTAGCTATCAGAGACTCTGGGGCTCTCTTAGTAAAGGCTTAACTATATACGGAATGTCCAATTCTAATCAGGGACTCTCACATTCCATTAACTACCAGAGAAGAGTTCTCTACACTTTATGGATTTTGTGCATTCCTTATTTATTGGAACACATTATTAACATAGGTTTATGATTAATTTTTATTATGTGATCTTGTATTTACAAAATGTTTCTGAATTATGATCCTGCCCCATAAGTAGTAATAAAGATATATAATTAGAACCCTGCTCCTTGGTTGCTCTATAGTGTGTCCATCCAATCATCCATCTGTCCATCTGATTTCATTTGTCTGGAGCATATTTTCTCTTTCCTTGGCCCAGGGGATTTGCACGTCACCCCTATAGTGCCCATTGGTAGAGGGTGTGCAGTGATGTTGTACCAATTTTGTATTAAAAGATCAGAGTCAGAAAATCTCTTTGCATAAAAAAAATCCTTGTTCTGAGTATGTTTTGTCTCCTTGCAGCCAAGTCAGGCTCTTTCTTCACCCATAAAGTGTCTGCAGAGGGTGTGCAGTAACCTTTAAGCAATTTTCCAATAAAAGGTCAAGGTCTAAAAAAAATTTTGTGTGAAATCCTTGTCTTATTTTCTCTCCCCAATTGGGCTCATTCTTCACCCTTTAGAGTGCCTATGGGTAGAGTGTGTGCAGTGAGCTAGAACCAATTTTGTAGATGAGAGGTCAAGGTCAGTCTCTTTGCAAAAAAAATCCTTGTCCAGAGTATATTTTCCTTCCCCTTGGCTTAGTCAGACTTAAATTCATGCATAGAATGCCCATTCGTAAAGAGTATTCAGTGATGCAGTGACCTTTAACCAATTTTCTATTCAAAGGTCAAGGTTGAAAAACTTCTTTCGTAAAATCCTTATCTCAAGCATATTTTCTTTTCCCTTGTCCCATTTGGGTTCACCTATGGAGTGCTGATGGGTAGAAGATGTGTATTTACTTGAGCCAATTTTCTAGATATAAGGTCAAGGTCAGAAAATATTTGTGTAAAATCCTTGTTTGGAGCATATTTTCTCTTTCCTTGGACCAGTTTGGCTCATACTTCACCCATAGAGTGCCCATGGGTAGAGTGTATGCAGTAAATGTGAACCAATTTTGTAGATAAAAGGTCAAAGTCAGAAAATCTCTTTGCATGAAAGTCCTTGTCTAGAGCATATTTTCTTTTTTCTTTGCCAAGTCTTACTTGAACCACCACTAGAGTAACTGCAGGTAAAGATGGTGTAATAATCTTGAAGCAATTTTCCAGATCAAAGGTCTAGGTCAAAAAATCTCTCTGTGTTAAATATTTGTCCAGAGCATATTTTCTCAACCCTAAGTAATTGACCAAGTTTGGCTCATACTTCACCCATTAGAATGCCTTTGGGTATAGGGTGTGTATTGACTTTAGCCAGTTTTCTAGATGAAAGGTCAAGGTGAGAAAAACCTCTTTGTGTTAAATCCTTATGTCCAAGCATATTTTCTATTCCCTTGGCCCAGTAAGCTCAAAATTTATCCATTTGGTAGAGGGTGTGCAGTGCCCTTGAGCCAAGTTTTTAGTTTAATGGTGAAGGTTATAGCAAATCTCTGTAAAATTCTTTTCTTGAGCATTTTTTTTCTCCTTTTGGCCCCAGCTGACTCAAACTTCACCCAAAGTGTGCCCTTGGATAAAGAATCTTTCATCCTAATGTCCTTTGCTATGATATCCATCTCAATGATGTCTAGTTCTTACTCTTATTTATAACATTTGACCTCTTTATTTACCTAAATTTTGTCTACATGTGTTGTAGAGTTTTAACGAGTATTTTGTCTATGTATGTTGTAGAGTATTTACCTGTATTTTGTTGTAGAGTATTTACTCTATATTTTGTTGTAGAGTATTTACTCTATATTTTGTTGTAGAATATTACTCTATGTTTTGTCCCTGTCTGTTGTAGAGTATTTACCTGTATTTTTACTCTGTGTGTTTTAGAGTATTTACTCTTTATTTTATTGTAGAGTATTTACTCTACATATTCTGTCCCTGTATGGGAAGTAGAGTATTTACTCTATATTTTGTTGTTGAGTGTTTACTCTATATTTTGTCCCTGTGTGTTGTAGAGTATTTACTCTATATTTTGTCCCTGTGTGTTGTAGAGTATTGACTCTATATTTTGTTGTGGACTGTAGAATATTTACTCTATTTTTTTTGTGAACTGTAGAGTATTTACTATATATTTTGTTGTAGAATATTTACTCTATATTTTGTTGTAGAGTATTTACTCTATATTTTGTCTCTGCATGTTGTAGAGTATTTACTCTATATTTTATTGTAGAGTATTTACTCTATATTTTGTCTCTCTGTGTTGTAGAGTATGTACTCTATATTTTGTCCCTGTGTGTTGTAGAGTAATTACTCCATATTTTGTTGTAGAGTATTTACTCTATATTTTATTGTAGAGTGTTTACTCTATATTTTGTCCCTGTGTGTTGTAGAGTATTTACCTGTATTTCGTTTCTGTGTGTTGTTGAGTATTTACCTTATATTGTGTTCCTGTGTGTTGTAGAGTACTAGGTACTCCATATTTTGTTGTAGAGTATTTACTCTATATTTTGTCTCTCTATGTTGTAGATTATTTACTCTGTGTTTTGTCCCTATGTGTTGTAGAGTATTTACTCTATATTTTGTCTCTGTGTGTTGTAGAGTATTTACTCTTTATTTTGTCTCTGTGTGTTGTAGAGTATTTACTCTATATTTTGTCCCTGTGTGTTGTAGAGTATTTACTTTATATTTTGTCTCTGTGTGTTATAGAGTATTTACTCTATATTTTGTCTCTGTGTGTTGTAGAGTATTTACTCTATATTTTTTCCCTGTGTGTTGTAGAGTATTTACTCCATATTTTGTTGTAGAATATTTACTCTATATTTTATTGTAGAGTATTTACTCTATATTTTGTCCCTGTGTGTTGTAGAGTATTAACCTGTATTTTGTTTCTGTGTGTTGTTGAGTATTTACCCTATATTGTGTTTCTGTGTGTTGTAGAGTACTAGGTACTCCATATTTTGTTGCAGAGTATTTACTTTATGTTTTGTCCCTATGTGTTGTAGAGTATTTACTCTATATTTTGTCTCTGTGTGTTGTAGAGTATTTCCTCAATATTTTGTCTCTGTGTGTTGTAGAGTATTTACTCATTATTTTGTCTCTGTGTGTTGTAGAGTATTTACTCTATATTTTGTTGTAGAATATTAACTCTATATTTTGTTGTAGAGTATTTACTCTATATTTTGTCTCTGTGTGTTGTAGAGTATTTACTCTATATTTTGTCTTTGTGTGTTGTAGAGTATTTCCTCAATATTTTGTCCCTGTGTGTTGTAGAGTATTTACTCTATATTTTGTCTCTGTATGTTGTAGAGTATTTACTCTATATTTTGTTGTAGAGTTTTTACTCTATATTTTGTTGTAGAGTATTTACTCAATATTTTGTCTCTGAATGTTGTAGAGTATTTACTCTATATTTTGTCCCTGTGTGTTGTAGAGTATTAACTCTATATTTTGTTGAATTGTTGTAGAGTAATGCATCAGAGAAGACTTTAGAGAGGGAGGATTCTATGGATAGTCAAGATGGCATTATTCACCACTGGGATCGTGGCAACAGTGTATGTACAATATACATCTTACAATTCACTCAAACCTCAGTGTATGTACTAAATATCTAAATATGAATCACTGTATAGATGTAAAGTAAGTCTGAAAAAATATTAATGGAAACCTTCATGGAAGTACAGGTTATCTACAAGTGTTTATATAAATTTCAGTGTAAGTGCAGTATATCTAATAAATTAATATGAACCGCATTTTACTCCAAAGTAAAAATTCACTTAAAACAAATCAAATTATTCAAAGTGGATGCTTGAGTTGTGTAGAGAAAATACAAATAATAGTTAACATGTATACTGGTATCTCGATATATCACAGTACTTAGTTCTTTTGCATAAAAAAATTTACTTTGATTTTTCATCAAATACTATTCATAAACCAAACAAAGAACTAATTTTTAGTGGCAAGTTATTTTCAAACCTTACTTCCTTTAATTTGTAGTCTATTTTTAAAACAGGAAGTCTTATTTTCCTCCGAAAATGGAGAGTCTCATTGTATTACAGTATTGAAATACACAGAAGACTGGAGCTGTCATGAAGTGCAATATTTGTTTTTTTAATTCAGCATGTGAATTTACATGCAAACTAAACAATAATAACAACTTAAGGCTTTCAAGATGTAAACTTCATTATGGTTTTTACTAGATTTATATATTCAATAGTTTAAAAAGATTAAGAATGGGAATAGAAGTCTGCATCAGCACATGAGTCAACATCAGACAACAGACAGACAGTCCATTAACAAAAAGGATATGTGCTATGTATCCTTATTTTTAGGATAGTTAGATGACATTGATTTCACAAACAACTGTAAAAGGGAAAAGGGGGGGGGTTAATTATTTATTGCCATTCATGTTGTGTAGCAATGTCATACATTTAACATTGTGGGAGTGTGGAGTATTTGATCTTGCTCACTGTTTGGTATTGTGGGTAGTACTATTGACAAAATCTGCCCAATTTTAAGTTTGACTATGTGTGCAGAGAGATTCATGTACTATGTTGATTTTGGTTTGCAGCTTTCTGTAACGTTAAAAGAATGGGATATTCCATTTGAGCAGTTAAAATTAATGGAAAAAATTGGAACAGGTCGATTTGGAACAGTATACAAGTAAGTGATGTGTAATTAAATGTTTGATCTCAAGTTATTTTTGCCCTTCAGGATAATTTTGCTCTGCTTTAGATTTAAACTCTACTACCAAGAAAACTTCGCAAGAAATATATGTAATTATAAAGAATGATTTATTCTAATTCATAAGTTAAGATTTCAGTCAAGTCTGTTTGATTTTAGGGGTACATGGCATGGTCAAGTAGCCATTAAAATGTTACATATGGATCCTGACTCGGACAACAACCAAGCTCAGCTCTCAGCATTCAAACTTGAGGTAATTTAAATCAAATAAAGGTAATTCAAATGAGATCAGCTCTTAGTTTTTGAGCTTGAGGAACATGTAATTAAAAAAAGTCTCAGGAACATGTAGTTTGAAACTCAAGAATCAAAGGAATATTTGTTCAGAATATGAAAGATAAGTGAATAAAATATTACAAACAAATATTTAGCAAACTTCAAGTAGTTGTTGACAAACTTATATTTAGCAGGCTATTCAAATTGTTGATGACAAACTTATTTTTAGCAAGCTATTCAAGTAGTTGTTGCAAAGATCAGGTGACCAAGATCAGAAGCATTTCTCAAAAGGAAAATGGCGATTTTAAATCATGTTTTGTTTTGTTTTGTTTTTGAATTTTGAGTTTCACTAGAAGCAGCATAATAAGAAATCAAACGAATCTGCTAATATTAAAAGCAAAAATGATGATCTAATATAGGTTTATGTGTAATGTATGTAATACAAGAAAGAATATGAAAGGACTTAGTGTAATGATTATGTTTGTAAGTCATTAAATACGGGTTTTGTGACCTACATGTACATATATTAAGTAGTGTCAGACACACAGTCTTAATGCTGTAAAAATGATGTAAGGAAATCCACCAAAAGTGAATTTGTAATGTGGGATGCACATAATGACAGGAAGTTGCTTAATCAGTAGGTCTCACCAAGACAGGTTTAACTATAAGTAGTAAAAATACATGTTTTAATTCACATTTTTATTTAAAGGTGGCTATGTTGAAGAACACAAGGCATGAGAACCTTCTACTGTTTATGGGTGCTTGTATGAAACCCCCTCAGCTTGCCATAGTAACCAGGTAAACTGATCAAGAAACTGTACAACAGTTCATTGTACAGAGAAATGCAGTAACTTGTATACCAGAATTTAGATGTATGGATGGAGAATACAGATATTTATGTCCTTTGTTTGTTTGACAATTACTGCAGTGGTCAAACTTTCTATACATGTGTCTGTAGTACTGTAGAAGTACTTTTTTCCGAGTGGTATTAATTATACCCCTGCTCCTAAGGAGAGGGGGTATTCTGTTTTACCCTTGTGTGTCTAACTGTCTGTGTGTGTGTCTGTCTGTCTGTCCACAACAAATTTCTGTCGCAGTCATCTCAGCAACTACTCATCGCAGATGCTTGAAATTTTAGCACACTGTTTGTTTAGGCATGGCCTATGTTGGGATTCTTTTTCTACGAATCCAATATCCAATGCCAACTTTCTGTTTATGTGTGCATCTGTCCTTACCAAATTTCTCAGCATTTTCTCAGCAATTACTCTTCGCAGATGCTTGAAATTTTAGCACACTCTTTGTTTGCCATATGGTTGGATTCATTTTTGTAGTAATTCAATGTCAACTTCTTGTTTATCCCTGCATCTGTCAGTACCAAATTTCTGTCGCAGTTTTCTCAGTAACTACCTAAGGCAGATGCTTGAAATTTTAGCACACTCTTTGTTTTGCCATGCCATATAGTGGGATTCATTTTTGTATGAAACCAATGTCAACTTCCTGTTTATGTGTGCAGCTGTCTGTACCAAATTTTCAAAAAGTGTGTGATAGAACCTTTTGAACAATATGAATGATTCCATAATGGATTTATATTGTTAGTACATATCATATGATGATGTACAAACAAACACAATATATTTCTAACAAGATGCTTTGGCTCTAATGTTTTGTTACTGTGGGCATTGACTTCCTGGATAAACTTTAATGATGATAAAAAAGATGAACCTTAAGTGAAAAAAAATCCTAGTAAGTACAATATTTCTTTAACTAAACTTGTGTAAATTCACATGAGAGTGTATATCCACACCAGAGCGTGGGTATTACTAGTAAGCATTGGCTCACAGACTTCTTGTTTACACTGTATATGCGGTCACAAACTTTCCGCAGAAATTTAGTCCCAACATACTTAAAGTACGTTTAAGGCATATTAGTGGCAATCTAAGAAATCCACACAATTTTTCTTCCCGTATTTGTAGTATTAGATGTATATGTATGAATGGTTGACAGTCACTGCATGTAGTTACTGCAGTGGTCAAACTCTCTATACACATGTCCATAGTATTAAGATGTATGGATGGAGAATACTTGTATTGATGTTGTTTGTTTCTTTGACAGTTACTGTAGTGGTCAAACTCTTTATTCATATGTCCGGACTAATGCTCGGGAAAAATTCAACATGAACAAAACGATTCTGATAGCTCAACAAATAGCACAGGTAAGATTTTTTAGTTTGTGGGTTATGCCTGAGTAATGATACGTACAATCTCATTTTAAAGTCTAGGCAAGTTTGAACACTCAAAGGTGTTCTGCTTACTGTGAATTTGTTGATTTTGTGGGCATCAACTTTTGTGCTTCTATAAAACTGACAATATCAAGAAAAAGGAGATAGTCACCTTAAAAACAAAAAGTATCACAGATAATTCCTCTTTCATACCTGTGAAAATCAACTTTTAGTATGATGTTTGTGAATGATAAAGAATAATGATTGTTTCATTTGAATGTATTTTTATCTGCTTTCTTTTGTGCAATTGACTGAAAGCAGCATTGTTGCTCCAAAATGAAAATACAAGACTTCAGAGTACAAGATTGCAAATAATTTGAGTTTTAGCGTACTTGATTCTGACAGTCCAGTGCACCAGGGAAACAATGGAGGTGACTGGTGACATACTTGATTGTGAGCCGATATTGCACATGCATCAATTCGGGTGACCTGATTGAGCCTTAAAAATTTGATAGACTCAGGTGGCTTCAACATGGGATCCTTGGAGATATTAATATCAAAAATGATTTATTTTAAGATGTGAAACTTTTGATCGAGGTACCCTAGTGAAATGAACATGATTGTGTAAGGGTAGTCCTCTTCTATGTTAGGTAACGTTTTATGATAGAAATACAATATTTCCATTACTGTGCAATAGCCAGGTTGCTTGATTCTAAGCCCATAGCCATGTTTACCTGGTTTAATTTGGCTCGGCCGAATTCTATCAGAATCAAGTATGCCATTTATGACATACTGTTTAATATATACATGTATATTACTTATCAAATAAAGTGAAATAATGCACCTTTTTAAAATACAGTTGAACTTCAGTATCTTGAACACATATTTCGAATACCATGGATATGTCGAAGTGATTTTTAAGTCCCAAACACTTATTCTTTAAGTATTTTACCCTGGATATCTCGAATACTTGGATATCTCAAAGTTTTTCCTTGGTCCCTTCGATTCCGAGATAACGAGGTTTGACTGTAATTTGTTCTGCTGCAAAGATTGTAATATTGAAATGTAAAAAGTCAAACTTTGTCAATTTTCATCCAGGGCATGGGTTATCTACATGCAAGAGGAATAATCCATAAGGACTTAAAAACAAAGAATATTTTCTTAGAGAATGGCAAAGTTGTGATTACAGACTTTGGATTATTTAGTGTCACCAAAATATGCCATGGCAACAGGTATTGTTTTTATTCATAGATATTTATATTTCTGTGTATCTGAACATTCTTAAGCCCCCTTCATGTGTGCTCATTTACTCACAGGTGTAAGTTTAACACACAAATTTTACTCCTGGCATGCAGATGTCATTTTTGTGATGCGTTCACTTGCACTAGCAAACTGTTTACTTGTTTAGGTTTTTTTACTTGTTCTTCAACTCATTGGTTTCCTCATGTACATGAATTTAATCGAACAGTAATTTGTTTTTTGTTTTGTTGTTTTGTCCATGCAGTTCTTCTCCCAGCCATTTCTTGTTCTAATGCTACTGAAGTAATATTTGGACTTATCAACACAGTAGAAGGTCACTACTTACTCTTTCTAATGTGGGACATGTAATTTTTAGCTCACTTCGACAAAGTTGAGATGAGCTTATGCTATACCCCCACCCCATGCTCATTGATGTGTGCAGACTAAACAAATTGATCACACCCAGTAAAAAGTAAACACTAACAATAACGGAGCTCTTGCCCTGTTTACAAACAGAAGTATCTGACATGATGTTATGAAGAAGGTCGTTGACATTTAATTCTTAGAATATTCATATTAATTCAATTCATTAAACTGAAGTTATTTTTTGACTGTGTCCAGGCCCCTTTAAATGGTTGCGTGTAAATGGGGCTTAAGAAAGTTCATATTATTAATTGTGTATGTGTTTACGATTGACTCACTATGATCTTATCGCAAATTCAATTTTTTATATCTTTAAAATTTGGCCAACTGATGTAAGAATAAAAATGTGCACTGTAAGTTTTCTATGTAAACGTTCCAGGAAATTTAATTGGATAAATATGTTAGAGGAAATATGATTGGATTATTAATATGATATAAGAAATTTGATTAGATTATCATATGAACAGACTGTGTTACAGAAAATTTGATTGGATTATAAATATGTTACAGAAAGGGTGACTGCTTACACATTTCCCCTGGCTGGTTGTGCTATCTTTCCCCAGAGGTCATCAGATGTCTTCACTCGGGGAGATCCAAAGTTGACCTACCATTTTCAGAAAAGTCTGATGTTTATGCATTTGGGTATGCTTGTACATGTACTTCTTTTGTGAATTGAAAAATCTTATGTTTAGAAAATATTTTATTTAAATATTTTAAATCTTATACAGATACTTGTAATTAATTGGGGTTTGCAATAACAGTTACATGTACATGTAAATGTTACCCACTGGTTAAAAGTTAAGATACATGTATTAAGTTTGGTTTCTTTTTTATGGCGTCGAGCTCTAGAGCTTGATGCATCCCCAAAAGAAAATAGTAATACATGTAGCTATAAATCAATTTCTTTGAAAATGCTCACAATTGATAATAGCTTGAAAATAAAATTGCATCAATTATATCTATAATTAATTCTGTTACAAAACAAAGATGCTATGTTTTTTTTCACACAAGAAAAACGTGATAGTTGTTGCGGATGAATTTCTAAAGAAAGGGCGCGTCCAATGACATGAATAAGGTTTCAGAACGATAACAACCCAACAGACAGTAAAACATTCAACCAATTTTATCATTAAAGCCAAAGAGTTAGGTTGTGTAGATGCAATTACTTAAACAGCGCTTAGACATTGGCAATTAGGAAAATATTATATAAATCTGAATTTATAAAATAATATATAAATTCTTCATAGTTCTTCAACTGACTGGAAAGAGATGAGTTTTTGATATTCAGAATGACTTTAACATGTCGAACGGTGTCTGGTCAATTCGAACCCAGCTCTATTCGGATCATGACATACATGTAAGGCCCCAAGACTATAATAGTTGACATTTTGTTCACAAAAATTTTTGTTAGGCTACCTGAATCATACAATTGACTTTCACTTTCTTCAAATTCAAAAGGATCTTTTGACATGCATTGTTTTTCATGTGCGACGCCGTTGAAGCCTTTCAGGCTTTTGATAAGTAATATTCTCTAACAAACTTTTTTTTTTACACAGAACAATTTGGTATGAATTGCTGGTAGGTGATTGGCCTTTCAGAAACTTAGCACCAGAGTGCATCATTTGGCAAGTAGGAAGGGGGATCAAACAATCTCTTGGGAGTGTAATGGCATCAAAAGAGGTCAAGGTCAGTATTTTTCTGGGTAATCAACTTGTTTTGCTGCAGCTTTGAATAGTGTATATATAATGTGAATTTAGTCTGTACAGAAGCAATATTTGTGTAGCTTTGTCAAATTGTGATACTTTTGCATACTTACATATACATTTGTAACATAATTTAATAACATATTCCATATATTGGCTATTAAATGTAATTGCTATGTACTCATAAAGTTGTGGATAAGTTGTTGTTTATTTCACAATTTTGGGCACATTTTTTGTTTTCTTGTACTGCTTGCTAGTAATGTTTTGCATTGAAAATTGTTTAAAACAGAAATACAGAAACAGTTGTGTCACCTGTGTGCTGGTAGTGTGCGATTGGCTTATTTAATTACTCACACTGATTGTTGTCCCCCACTTGCAAAAACATGGGGACATTAAATCTTGTTCATCTGTCTGTCTGTCAGAAAAAACATAAACCTCAGTCATAACTTCTGAATGAGAAAAGATAGGGCTCTCATATTTCACATGTACATTACATCTGACAAGACCTTTCCTTACATGTATGTACTATAATTTTTTGATTCTGTGACTTTGACATTGAAGTTTGACCCACTTTTCAAAAATGTTAACATTGGTAATAATTTTTGAATGAGAAAAGATATGGCTTTCATATTTCACATGCATTACCCATGACAAGGCCTTTCTCTGTGTATTATAATTTTTTATCCCCATGACTTTGACTTTGAAGTTTGACTCAATTTTCAAAAAAAAATTAATATTGATAATAATTTTTGAATGAGAGAAGATAGGGATTTCTTATTTCACAGTTACATTACCTGAGACAACACCTATTAGGGAGTACTATCCTATTTGACCTTGTGACCTTGGCCTTGATCTACTTCTCAAAATTTTTAACTTTGGCTGTAGCTTTTGAATCTGAAGAGATAGAGCTTTCATATTCAATTTACCTGTGGCAAGATCCTCCCCATTGAATGTATAATTCTATACCTCACAGCCTTGACCTTGAAATTTGACTTGCTTTTCAGAAATTTTAAATTTGGCCATAACTTTTGCACCTGAAGAGACTTTTATATTTTTCCCATTTGCATTACTTGTGACAAGACAGATTCACATGTACGAGTCTTGACCTTATGACCTACACTAGTTTCACTTTCAAGAACCTTGAACCTTGGCCATAACTTTTTGCATCAGAACATGTTGCTTACAAAATATAAAATATTTCTTTGCATGATGGACAGACAAGCCAGGACAGACAAAACAGTTACAATATGCCATAAATCATTGCACCCAAACCAATAAAACCCATAAGTTGGGTACCACAATTCTCTTAATTTGTTTGTTTTCTTTCATATATATCATGAATTAGCTACAGAACTGTAGCTCTTTGGATGAGAAAATTTGGAAAGACAAACCAAACAAAGCTTCTTAACAAACTTCACAAAACAGGGCATAATTTGTCAAGTAAAAATAGAAGAGGGGTAAGGGTGGCTCAAAGTAGGAGATCAAAGATTTTTATGAGAATAATATGAAATACACTCGAACCTCTTTATCTTGAACTCAAGGGGACCCAGATTAAACTTTGGGATATCCAAGGATTTGAGATAAGCAAGTAGTCGTGACTGCCAACTCACTTTGACATACCCCTTGTATTCAAGATAGTAACAAAGTCCAACTTTATCTTTGAAAGTCATCTCAAAAAAGTTGCCACAATTATTCATATAAAAAAGGAAGCATCGACATCCCCATGTTTGTTCAAAACGTAACCTTGGGGACTAGTTTTGGGGGAATTGAACAATTGGGGAACACGGTTTTTATACAGAAATATACAATATGAACATCTAGAAGAACAAGAAAACTAATATTTTTAAAGTTATCATCCTTTTATATTCTGTAAATTAAAATCTTTGAAATCCTAAACTAATGTTGAAATGATAATTAGAGGTTCGTGTATCTACATGTACAAAGTTATTGGTGATACAGGTGAGCATTTGTAGGCAATTGACCTCTTGTTCTGAAAAACAAAAAAAAAATGATTGAACAGACATTTTAGAATCATTAGAGGGAATTCCAAATATTGAATAATGTATATGAATGGAGTTCAGATACAATCTGCCAAGACTTAGGACAGAGGTAGTGCACAGATGCTTTAGAAGTTCCTGAATTCACATACTGTACACTGTTTTGTTAGAGAAGGAGGATATATTGTATTGACAATGATTTAAGAATATAAAATGAATCCAGAGAAGAACAAAGTTAAGATTATAACGATCCCATTCACTTAGCACATTAATATTAGAGGAATGAAAGGAATAAGACACAGGTGACACATTTTGACCATTGTGAAGCAGGTTAGCTTCTGACGACCATACTTATCATTTTCTCCTTTACAGGATATATTCTGCTATTGCTGGTCGTTCAAACACTCTGATAGACCAGAGTTTAATCAGTTGTTTGAACACATTCGCAAACTGTCCACTAGGATCCCACCCAAGTCATTTAATTATAGGCGTTCCTCTGATCCAGTGGTCCTGGGTGCCAGGCCCCTAGGGTAGGGACTAATACCGTGTCATGTAACCTACCCTACAGTCTAAAGCATGCTGCATGTCCTTAATCTCTGATAACTGAGTTTCCTTCCCCACAGAACTGTGTGGAGTGTATATACCTTGAAATGTAGATACTGTTACATGTAGTTGAAGGGAATTATTGAGATTATCTAATTTCCACCATATTTTAGTTTACTGCACAAAGCATCAGGTCTGCAGTGTTTTTAGAATTCTAACATTTCATGTCTATTTTGTAGTGTAGCTTTTATTTTCATACAGGCATGATTTACATTGCTGACATCACTTTTATATTGTATATCTAAGCACTTTTTGTTTTACCGATTATGTTTGATGTGGTATGTTTTATTTTTCCTTTCACTGTATGTGCATTGACTTGTGCTTTAGTATTCCGTGTGAACTATTTTTTTTTATATTCTACCCATATATGGATTGTTTAAGTCCTCAGTATAGAAGGGCACAAATATTAAAGTTGTTTATTGCATCTAGTTCAATCTGTGGAAACTCGGAAAGAAGAGCATTGAAACTGAACATTAACTAGTTATCCACAACAGAACGGGACACAATTACGCTTTCTTCACAGGACTGCAGAATATAATTATGGTTCTTCATTTGTACTGAACTCAAAGTTGGTGATGTAAATTAGAATTGATTAATGAAACCAAACTTTGAAATCAATCAGGTTTTTTATGAATGTTTTGGACATTATTACTTTGTTGCACCTTTAACACGCGCTGACATAAGGTCTGAAACCCACCAAAAGATGTTCATAAAAACGTGTATTTTATGAATGTAACATGTAAACATTGAAGATTTCTCTAGACTATAAATTACAGTTATGCTCTAAATTTTCTGTATGCCAAAATAATTAAATCATTTATTCAGTAGCTAAAAACAAGGATAATATGTTGGCCCTCGATCAACATTGCTTTTGGATCACGCTGGGTTTGAATTTGATTTATTAGATATTGTATTTATGACATGATAGTAAACATTTATCATGAAGCATTTTATTTGCTTCATCAGAAATAGTTTGGTGGACTTTGAAATAAAACTGCAAGCTAGATTCAAAACATTTTTTTTAACCATTATGCTTTTTTGGGTGATTGGGTTATACATGTAGTGTTTCTTCTGATAAATAAGTCTGTAGATTAATATGACAATGTTTGACTTTAAATCACTATACATTGTAAGAGTTACCACACAATGAGAAGAAACTTAAATGATAATATTAAGAATTGTTACAATTTCATATCCAAAGTATTGTCTATTACTAAATAGAGTTATTTCCCATTGTGCCAGTATAATCAGATTTACTTCCCTTTAACAGGATGTTCTGATGATCTGCTGGACGTATCAGCCAGATGACCGACCACATTTTAAACATCTCCTGAAGGCAGTGGAGAGACTTCCTAAAAAGCGCCTAGTCAGGAGCCCCTCTCATCCAGTCCACCTGTCTCGAAGCGTGGATTCTGTGTTCACGGCCTAAACACTCATCTGGAACCATGTCTTTCTTGTAGGATAACTGTGATAATTAATATCTTGACACAGTTTAGTAGTAATACAGGTCATCAGGTTAAAAAAAAGCAGTGGAGGAATTCCAGTAGACTTAATCAATGAAGACAATTGTTTATGGTCTAACGGAGATTCACAACTATCTACCACAGTTTAAATTGTTCAGAATAAAAAATTCTGGTACCCCATCTTAATATGACCAAATTTATTTCTCTCCCATTGTGGTCTGTAGTCATGCCTGATGTTCCATAGAGACAAAGAATGTGAATCAAGCACAGGTTTTAGGGACATGACAGATTTGGACTCCTAAGTGCTTTTATTTTGTGCATGTTCAATGATTGTTATTTATTTAACTTCATGCTTTTCACCCTCATCTGATTCCATTCCAGACCTGTGTGAGAAAAGTGTGCATTTTACATGTGAAAAATGCTCAAAGTAAATATAACTGAGATGTTGAATTCAATTTTAATGAAATAATGTTTTAAGGTTTCACTGTTTAATTCTGTCCTAATTAAGTTTTTTCCCCCAACTCCTTTCATTGTTGCTGTATTTTTGAAACTTTGTTATATATTTAATATGTAAAACAAAATTTTAGTTTTTATTTTTCAATCTCAAAATATTGATTAATTTTGTATTTATTATGACAAGGATGAACATGTGGAAGTGGGAGAGAATGAAAGTGCTTTACAATGACATTCCTAACTTTTCATGTGACACTGCTTTTCCAAAGAGCGTGTCTGCAGAACATTCAAAACCTTTATGCAAATGTGATATATTTCGCGCCATGACCATTAGTTAGCAATGTATAGGTTTGAGGAGTTGTAGATAATTATGAATGACTTCACAATGTGCATTTTTATCATTTTCAAATAGACTTACCATTCACTATTCTCTATGGTCAGTAGTCTTATAAAAATCACCATGGAAACATTTTTATATTATTATATGTAGACACTGGATATAGCATAATGACTGTGTTATTATTTATTACCATATAGTTTATTATTTGTACATATCATTTTTTTTTTATTTTTTATCCTCAGATAAATGTATTTTAATTTCTGTTTTTTAAAACAAATTCAAATATTGACTGCAAAATTCAGTGAGTCATTTTATTCATTACCATTCTTGATAAAACAGAGTACAAAAGTTCAATATTCACCCCAATAAACCTTTTGGGTTGTAAAAAATTGGAATCGGGGCTTACTTGATCTGCCTGTATCAATAAGCATGACTTGTCTGTAAGGGGGTTGAATTAAGCATATAAAATGTGCATTTAAAAAAAAGGGGGGGAAGTAATATGCAATGTGTTCTCTATGATTCAATTAAATTCTTTTAGTTTATGTTAATATTTTCAGCTTAGCAGGGGGGGGGGGGGGGGGGGGGGGCTTATTTTATGACTTGGATGGGTGCATATAGGGTTATATGTGCTGATGAGGTACCTCTGAATGGTCTATTCATAGCACAAGTTTCCTTGGGGTAGGATTCATGTTAAAGCAATATATTTCAAAGGCATCAGTGGGGAAAAATCATCATAGAAATGGATTTATGCATCAGTAATTTATGATTTTGCAAATATATATGTACCTATTTGTACATAGGAAACATCAGTCAAACTGCTTTTTAATGCAGTGAATGGCATTATAGACAGACAGATTTTAGTTACCATTGACATAGCAGATTTGAAAAGTCCTGTGACTTTTGGAATTTAAGAACTGGTTAAATGGTTTTTGGTCATATTGAAACTTTGTAATTCTGATTATCTAAAGGATGGTGAGTGATATTTGATTTTTGGCTACCTACAGGAAAGTTTTTTAGATGTCTAGATAGCTCACCAATTGACTCTTTTCTTGTGACAGCAATGCAATGCTTTACTTTGTCCGTCATTGTCATTATTTATGCATGTAGTGATTCATGAACTTTGTACCCATCATGCAATATCAGACTTGTCTGGGCATGTGTGATTGAAGATACCTCCTTGTTTTTTTATATGTCTGTGAGAGATTGATGGTGAGAGAGAAAGGGGGGTCCAATTCCAGTACTGTAGCTGCTTTTTCTCAATATTGATGGGAATGAAGAGTGCACACTTAAAAGCCTGCTGTGATACATCATATTAGTAGAGGACTTATAGAGCGAGTGTGACATGTGCATCAGCAATCATTAACATCTCTGTTACAATGGACTTAAAAATTGTATAATGAACATGGAATGATTTGTGTAGAGGTGTCATTTGTATTAAATGTCCAAGTATAGAAATCTCGGTAAGAGAGGATACTCTATAGTAATCACTGGGTCAATCTGTAAGCACATTTATTTGACATGATAGTTTAAGTTCTTTGTTATTAAAATGGAGGATGGTAAATTATAGGAAGAGATAGCTCAGGGGTCATGTGGGTCAAGGTCAAAAATTTAGATAATTATTTGTCCATTAGCTTGGATTTTTCTAAAACTACAGGGTCATTTTGGAGTCACTTGATCATCGGTCATTATTATCTTTATGTCTTTGAACAAAGAGAGAAAAATACAGGTTAAGAGGTCATTGGGTCAAAGGTCAACATTTTTCTTTTTATACGAGGCACAAACACTGGAGTGTATTAGTATACAGACTGCATTACACAATCAAAACAGAAACCTACAGATTCTTCAAGGTGAGTGTCGCTCTGCTGGGACCTGTATGACTTTGTCAGTTGTTTTAGTCTTGGTAAAATTTCATGAGCATCTTTTTTTAATTAAATTATGGACTGGGCATTACTTTTCCTCACCTGATTCTACAGTAGTTCACATTAAAACATCTCAACACAAATGTTTGGAATTCATTAACCAAGTTTGATTTAATACCAAGGTTTAAAAAAATGTCTGGTCTGTAGGGAAATATGTACATGAGAACACCCTAAAAACATTTTCAAGTGCTGTCAAGAGATAATTCAAAAGATTAACAAATAAAAATTTCTGCTGTGAATTACATGCATTATATTTAATCCAGTTTAAACTCATGATTCTCAAGAACATTTGATCTCAAATTTTTGTGTAAGATCTTCATGATGGATATTTTGGATAAAAATATCCATAAAGAACTGATGTCTGTTGTAAAAATATGGTTTTTACAGAATGTCTACATTTTTTTCCTTATAGTTTATAAAAAAAAAGTTTGAATTACTGTTATTATGCATATTTCACACTTATAAAATTACAGACAGTAATTACTTACGGTAATTATTGCGAAATGACTTGAGTCTGACATGGTAAATCTGAGTATGTCTTTGTATGTGATGTATTTCCCACATTATATGTGCTATTATTGTGAGCATGATTGTGAGTTTTTCTGACCATTGTTGATTCTTTATTTCTATGTGCAATATGCCACGTGTACAGAAAGTGATGAAAATAAAAAAAAATCTGTTTGATAAATGGATTTTTATTGTTCTTTATAGGACAGAGGGCACAGCCATGTGTTTTCTGTGCTGGTTATCAGTACATGTAACTTCTTTGCTGGTTATTAGTATTTGTAACTTCTGTACTGGTTATCAGTGTATGTAATTAACATCTGTGCTGGTCATCAGTATATGTTACTTCTATGCTGGTTATCAGTATATATAACTTCTGTAGTGGTTATCAGTATATGTAACTTCTGTGCTGGTTATCAGTACAGTAAAACTCGGTTATAACGAAGTCACTGGGACCTGTGAAATTACTTCGCTATATCCGTAATTCGTTATATCCATATAAGGAATTCGTTAAATTTATATAGCTGGGGATCTAAGAAAACTTTGCTATAACCGTGAATTCGCAATATCCATGTTCATACTAAACGAGTTTTACTGTATATGTAACTTCTGTGCTGGTTATCAGTATATGTAACTTTTATGCTGGTTATCAATATATGTAACATCTTCTGTGCCAGGAATAAGAAGAGTAATCTTCTAACTTGTAAAGTGATTATTTTTAGCTCATACTCAATATTAGGTAACTTATCACTGGTCAAGGTATACCTTGACCTGGTACTAAGGCCATTTGGTATCTTGGTCAAGGCACACCATTTGGTACATTAGTCATGGATAGACATCAACTCTATATCCATGGTTGTTTGGATAAAGACAATGTTACATACCTCAGAAGTTGTATGTTCTTTGGGTCATAATACTGGTTGCTTACAACAGGAAGTGTATCAACTTTCAATAATTTTTACATTTTTAGCTCACCTGAGCTGAAAGCTCAAGTGAGCTTTTCTGATCACATTTTGTCTGTAGTCCATCTGTCTGTAAACTTTTCACATTTTTTACATTTTAAAAGGTTCAGGCATGTTTGTCATTTTTTAATGCCCATCGCAGTAGAAGATATAGTATAGGCTTTCCCATTGATCTGTCTGTTAGTTTAGTTTGGATTTCAGGCTGATATATTTTATATCCAGGTTATATAGATGTATTTCACACTGTGAGCATCTAACCTAGTTTGTTGATGCATCTTTGGGGGGGGGGGGGGGGGGGGACCAAGAGTAGGTCACCAGTGCCTTTTATTTGAATTTTAATTAGCTATAAAGTCAGTACATCTTGTTTTGAAAGTGTGTAGCAACCCAAAAGTAGATCATTATATATAGCCTCTTTTGAAATTTCATGGCCTATAACATTCAAAACATTTATGGATCACATACTACAAGAAGCTTGTCCAGTTGATGCATCTTGGGGGGGGGGGGATGTGTCAAAACAACAAAAGTTGACAAATTTATTCCATTGTAGTTACAAATGACAGGGTCACAGCTTGTAACTATGAATATGCATATAAAGATGTGCATTATATAGTTCCATACGGGTTCAATATGTATTCCTGCTGTGCACTTTTCTCTCATTTAGATGACCTACAGGACAAATTTAGTCCAAATTTAGGAAGCAAGAATTTGCAGTAACTGTTATTTATTTTTGCAGATCTGCCAGTGCCTTGGTCTTGCCCAAATGACCTGTTTCCAGGTCATGACACATTCATGAGTAAAAAGTAATTTTTAGCTCTACTGGTCAGAGACCAGAAGAGCTTATGCAATAGTAAGGTGTATGTTGTCCATCTGTCTAGCTGTCAGTCTGTCTGTAAACAATTTTTCAAAATGTTACTTGTACAGTTTTGGTCTGATTTCAAAATAACTAGGCACACAAGTAGACTACACTAAGGTACATAATTCTGTGTATTGGGTTTTGATTTCAATGAACAGTGTTGCCATGGTTACTAAAAAATAGAAATTTCTGTGAAATACTTTCAAAACATTACTCCTCCGACAGTTTTGGTATGATTTCAGTACAACTTGGCACAAAAGTAGACTACACGAAGATTCATAATTCTGTGTAACGGTTTTTTGATTTCAATGAACAGTGTTGCCATGGTTACTAAAAATAGAATTTTCTATGAAATACTCTCAAAATGCTACTTCTCCTACAGTTTTGGTCTGATTTCAATATAAATCGGCACACAAGTAGACTATACTAAGATACATAATTCTGATACATAATTCTTTATATCGTTTGATTTCAATGATTGCTGTTGCCATGGTTACTAGAAAACAAATTTCTGTGAAATACTTTCAAAGCACTTCTCTTCATACAGTTTGGTCTGATTTTTAATATAGGACAGAATAAATTTATTTGCCAATCATGGTCTCACAGGGGGCATAACATAGACACAAGCATGATTTTTTAACACTCAAGAGGACAAGAAAACACATAAAAATACACAGCAATACAAAACATAAAAAAAAATAGATAATGAGTATAGGCAAAACATAAGAGTCGCCCGCGTGGCGCAGTGGTTAGAGCGTCTGCTCTAGAGTCGCGAGGTAAGGAGTTGATCCTTACGTCGCGGGTTCGAATCCCACTGTGGGACGTGGAGACCGGTCCTTCGGATGAGACCGTATAAACCGAGGTCCCGTGTCGCAGTAGGTGTTGGCACGAAAAAGACCCCTCACTGCTCAATGGCCGTAAGTGCCGAGCATAGGACAAAATTTGCAGCTCTCCACCGGCAAGTGGTGGCGTCTCCATATGAGTGAAAAATTCTCAAGAGGGACGTTAAACAACATACAAACAAACAAACAAAACATAAGAGATGAGTAATTTTAATTACCTCCATTACACCACAAAGCTAATGACATTACAATTGACTTCCTAAACTACAAAAGATATCAAGGGACAGAGCTCTAGAATATACATGTCTCGGCAGTGCAACTGTCTGGACAGCATTCCTCCTCATAACTAATGTAGATCAGCTGCCATGCAATTCAATAATGTATTGTATCATGTAAAATTGAGAAATATATAAATAAGTAAAATCAATTAAATGTTATCATGTTGGAGTATAAATGTAATTGCAATAAATCTTGCCATATAAAGAGACTAAACCAAGGATCAACATTCCATTTATTGCTGTTGAAAAGTTTCAAATCCAAGTGCAACTTTTCTCTTCTTTTGTTATAAGTTCAAACCACTAGAGCTACAGTCTCGTCAGAGACTTCTGGTTGTGAAGAATGACACTGTAGTGTTTCTCCTTAAGAAATATGTAGACATGAACAATTTATTGATTTTAACTTTTCTCAGTGACACTGACCCCGAGTCAAGGTCATGACACACCCTCAGTTCACAAGCAATCTTTGTGTTCATCAAGTATGAGATTTCAATGTTTTGGAATGTGGATCGATGTGGATTGCATTTGTAGACTAGTCTAGATAAACACAAAAAAATATCTCCATCCTTCTTCAGCTATTTAAACCACCCGATAAATATCAATAATTCAATTGATAATTATCAATAATTAATTTATGTGTCATAATGTGGCAAAATGGATGAAAGTTGTTGACTTCCCAGAATGGGTCTGCAGTTCATAGTACATTAACCCCTAGCTAAGTCTATAGGGCATATGGACAATCTCTGACAGCGCAGATAAAAAGCCTTGTCCTTGAAATCTTTCTATGTCATGATTTCCTACGGGGCAAAACGACCAAAACTAACACTCATTAGAAGCTAAATACAGTGTATGCATTTAATACAGAACTCAGACATCTTTTTTATCCAGTAGTCCTGTGTTGTCCCACTGTGCACGCCACTCATCAGGGCCTAGTAACAAGGGATCACAAACCCAGCCCTGGTCAATGAGGGCTCTGCGGAGTTCCTGTATATGAGACTTAGTATAATGGAGGGAGGCCTCACTTGTCTTAGCTGAATCACCTATAATAGTAGACCGTCACTGTTATCAGTAGTTTATAATAAACATGACAAAACAATGTATACAACATAGTATAATCAACATATCTCTGTTTAAAAGACTTTTTAAATCACAGGAAGAATTGATTAAGGAAAAAAAATATTCGATAACTTAGAAGAGGACTTTTTTGTTGATTTTTTTAATGTAGTTCATCACTATAAAAAACTTTGTGTTTTCTACAAATCTTTAAAATTTCTCAAAAGGAAAGTAATGGTTAAATCAATACAAGACAAATAAGTTTAAAGGTGCCGCATTTCAACTGTGCTATCAGATGTCCTAATGGTTTGTTATTTATCATTGATTGTCCATTGATCGATTGTTAGTTTCACAAAATATTGGTCAGAGCAGGTACAAAACATTTGTATGTAAGAGGTCACACAATCATGAATATTCAGTGTTAATGACATCAAAATCAGTGTTAATGAGGTCACAATCATGATACTAACCCTCTGTTAAAGCTGCTGCAATCCCATCAAGCTCATACGAAAATGCCTACAAGTGTAATAATTTCATTGTACTTGCGCACCTTACTATACATCATGACAATATGTATAAAATGTCATGAAAATATGTGTAAAGGGGCATGGACATAGAAGTTTATAATCTTCAAATTTTTGGTATAATTTCATGACTTACATATTGCAAGAGAGTTTTAGACCCAAATGTACTGTTTGAAGCATTACCTTATTTTTATACAGATTATCATACACATAAGTGATAACCTCTGTCTGCACACAGCTCTGTAGTAGATCTTCAGGTGTGCTCTCAGAAGACAGAACTATCGATATACAACCTGCAATTAAATGGGCCTCTTGATTGAGGGCATATACATGTATTTTATTTTACTATTTAAATAAATACTGAATATCAAATTTACAAGCACACATATTACATTACATATTGTACTCCGGGCTATTTAAATTGTAGATTAAGACCTTTCAGCTAAGGTGAGCTAAAAGAAAACAATTCTGCTGGGATGTTTTTTGTGAGTGAATTTTTTAAGAAATAAGGTATCATTTTTAGACTTTTATCAGGATGTAAATACGGGTTGGACATGTGATCAAATCCCATAAAGCATGAAGGGCTTCATGGTAGATTTAATCTAACCTGTATTTACATCCTGGTAAAAGTTTTAAAATGATATCCTATTACTTATACTTACAATTGTGTCCGACTTGTTACAAATATTTCGGTACTATAGTTTTATAACCTTGATATGATTTATTGTTTTCAAACCTTCATAGTATAAATTAGATGTGTTGAAAACGTCGGCCACTTATGACGTCACTATGAAATTACATCGATTGTTCATGACTAAACAATGAATTAATATTCAGGTGAAGAACCTGTTTATACACAGACTTAAATTGCCTTGCTCAAATAATGTATCGGAAAACATTTGCAAGTGTAAATGTATTAGGATAAAAACACCATACATAGGTGTTGGAACCAGGGGGGCTGGGGGGCTTAGCCCCCCCCCCCTTTTTTTTTTGGCAAAGATAGACATAATATAGGCATTGAAAATTGGGGCTTACCTTTTTTTGTTGGTTTAGCCCCCCACTTTCAATTAGCAGCCCTACTTTCAACTTCCAACGCCTATGCCATACATGTACTTTAATGCATGACTGCAGCATGAATGACAATAAACATGTATGTATACATGAAAAGCAGAAGGATAATTCCATTGGTTGGTATGTTCATGATGACCTGAGGTCACAAAACAAGTAAAATCCAATGGATGGGTCAATCCTTTTCTACAAAATCTTTGAAGAGATTACAGTAAAATATTTACGAGAGAGTAGTCCGTGTTCTAAAATTTATTTGCACCAGACCCAGCTGACGTTTTTACTACTGTAGGTGCTCTACTAGTATTTTCTTGTTTTACAGTATTGCATCTTTTAGAAAATTAACAATGTTTAAAAATATTTTATAAGAAACATTTCGAACAAACCTGTCTTAAAATTTACATCTAAAAGGTAATTGCTGCCTTTATATATTGCAATGGCTTCCTCCAATTTGCTAGCCCTGAAATAGAAAAGGGTGTAAAAATCTTTATTTGGTAAAAAAAAAAGATGCTGATTGAAGAACTTTAAGCTCAGATAACCTTAAAATATATTCTGCTGGTATGTTTTTTTATGTTTATTTTATTATGATAAAAACACAATGCTCAATGCATGATTGCAGCATTAAAAAAAACAACAGGATATATGATTATATCTGATCATTTACTTGTTATATACTCTGCCTATGGATGTTCCCAGATGAACAGATAGCTTTCTTCTTGTCCCTGAAAAAGTTAAAACACTGATCGTCAAGTTGAAGAAGTTTTAAAATAAATCTGAAACTATTCAATTTCGAATCAGTTGAATTCTGTATACTTACGCCAAAGAACAGGTTCTCTGTAATTTCCTTCCTCAGGGGAGAGAATTCTGCCAGTTTGTAGGTAGTCTTTGACTAGGATGTGAAGTCTGGCCAGATTAAGAGACTCCATAATAACACTGGTTACAGCTGAGTAGTTGGCAAATAAATGTAGCATTGTAAAAAACACAAACAAGATCCATATAGTCCTGAAATTGAACTTAACATATTACAACTCCCAATAAAAAAATTGCGATTTTTTATAACTTGAAAAATGAGACAGCTGGAAACAGTACAATGATATTTTTTTTAACTTATAAAAATATAATAAATCTGAGCAAGTTCAACTGACACTTCTTTTCCAGTCACCAGAGGCACCAGTGTAAGACTACATATAAGTGCAGCTAGGTTTACAAGGGTCTCCTGAAAATAAAAGACAAGTGTTAGACTACAAATACAAGTTAGAGCAGCTAATTTCAAAAGAGTTTCCTGAAACCAAACCAGAAAGCATATTTAGTAACAGAACTGTCAGGCTGAATTGATGTAAGTCGGTTCACTTACCTGACTTCCATCTTTTGCCGACACGTCAGCCATATTGTTTCTGCGGGCCTGATGTTGTGTGAGCGCCGCCCTGGTGGCTCCTCCTGCCACTCCTACAATGGACTACAATAATTTGGCATCATGTAAATACTTTAGTGAATACTTTAAACCTGCATGCAAAAATATATGTTCTCTTTGTTTTAAAATATTTGTCTGTTAAGAAGTTTGTAGTTTACCTTACAAACCCCAGCTGTACAAACTATTGGGGTGAAGTAAGTTTTGAAATTTGGAGCCATGATTTCCATGAAAATTGCTAAATCATTCAGTATATCTGCAAATAATCTGAAAATTAATTATTTTTAAGTAATAAAAGTTCTCTCAACCTTTTTTCTTAATTTTTCATTGTTTGAAAACTTTACAATATTATAGTATGCTACACTATGATGTGCTATTTTAATTTCCATACCTCCATCTTTTGGCATCACAATCCAAACTGGTCCTACATTGAAAAGAGTTATCTCATAAGCATGATTTAGAACACAATCACACATAATCAAGTCCTTGTACATTAATTTTATGTGAATTATACAATACTTCAAGTTCATATATATGTACATTATCAAAATAAAGAATCAGTATTTTCATGAATCGTGTTAATGTCAGATAATATCTGTCTCCTACCCTTGTATCCAAGCAAACATTATTCTTCCAAGCATACCAGTCCCATCTCCACGAAAAAAAAAAAATATAAAGCACATTTATTGGCCTTGAAAATTTCACCAGTGCACTGATTTCAAATAATGTAAAAATTATTGGATTTCAGTCTCCAAATGATCACTGGAGCTAAGTTTACCTTTTAGAATCCATGTTAATGTAGCAGCCATGACTGTAGCACTCTCATCTCCAACACCCACTCCCTTCAGCATAGCCTGGGCAGCTAGGGTACCTGTTATACTGCTGGCAAAGGCCTACAAAAATAACATAAAAATAAATAGCTGGATAATTCTTTTCTCTGTTAGAACAGCATGAATACATTTCAAAGTGATGTTTTTTTATGGATACATCATGCATGTATTATATATTTTATGTTGTAGACAGGGGTAAACCTACCTGAATAGTGTCCCATATTTGATACTGAAGGTAATCAGAGCTCACACTCTCTGGGTAACCCTGGGGGAGAAACACAACCTGCAAAACAGCATTTGAAACTGCATTTATAAACACTGAACACTCATTCTTAGAATAAAATCTAATATCATTCATAAATGCTTAGAAAAAAAAAACCCTTGTCACATCTTTGGTTCAATTGCCTAATCAGGACATTATGATGCCTTAATAACTGACTAATAACTATTATGAAAAATGCATTTCTGACTTTGAGAAAATTATATCATATAAAGGTGTTTATATTGAGCCTAGTTTATTTTCAACATATGGCACCTGCCTTCTCTCCCCAGGAAAAATGTTCAAAGACAATAAACTATTTGTGAACAGAAATCATTGTTGTTTACTAACACTGGAAAAATTAATGCAAATATTGTATTCAATTACTTACTTTTGGTCTAATATAATGGTAAGTATTTTTAATCAATTACAAATTGTGTCATTTATTGCAGATTCCCATTTATTCTATCTTACTTCTAGGGGCAATTAAATCACTAACTGCATAAAACTACCCTAATCCATGACAATTAGAACTTTTTAGTGTGGAGTGTTTAGAGGTTCCTAAAGTGGGATACAATTTGCATAAAAAAAATAAGAAATTCAATTATTGTAAAACACATTAATACACATTGAATGCAATAACTTTTGGCAAGCAAATTTTCCTACAACCTTACAGTCTGTGAGATTGACCATAAGTTTTAGATTTTCCAGGGATTGAATTACTGAGGATCATATTCAATAAGATATTGTCCTAAAAGAAAGATATAGAAGAAAATGATTTAGCAAAAGTTGTTGCTTTCTATGTTTTATGTATTATTATGCAAATTATAATATTTTGAGAGTTTATATATATATATATATATATATATATATATATATATATATATATATATATATGTAATTATATATTTCTGCACTGTTTATTTATAGCCTGTCTTAATCTCAATCTCCCATTTGAGAGCCCAATCTGCAAATTCTTAAATTCCAATACTAGTCCCGTATAGTCCACTTTACATGAAAAAATAAAATAATATTGTATATCCATCTGATATAAATGATATCCCTGAAATTTAATAGGCATTTCAAACTACCATGAAAAACTGTGTTAAGGAGGTCCACTTCGGTGAGAGATCGACTGCCAGCAATCTGTCTTTTCCTGTCTTGACATATTTTTTGCAGACCGTAGATGAACCGTATATCTCTTTACAAACCATTCTTAATTGCTTGACCAAGCATAAAGTTATTACATTACATACATAAGCCTAAAACTTTCTTGTTCCCCAACTTATGAATTTGTTTTTGTCGCCACGTTATTCCGACATTTGATAAGTCGTATCCAAATTATTCGACATCCAAATTTTATGTGATATTGAAAGAAAACATCGACACTCTGTAAAGCCCTCAGCAGATTTCCTTTTTAAATAAAATACGTTTTTTTTTAAAATATATCCATGAGATAACTTTTTTTTTATTCGAGTAAAGAAAAGCCGCATCGAGTACGATTGATAGATCTGTCGTCTGCATTTGTTTACATTTTGATGTGGCGAGGAAAAATTACTTTCGCACAGCTCAGCGGAATGAGTGTATGTATTGTGGTTTGCATTGATGATGCCCCCACCCCCATGTCTAGTCTGAGCTTCTGTATGATTATATCTTACTTTCAAATATTGCTACGTGTAGGCCTGCTATGAGGCACCGTTTTACCATTTAAAAAATATATATTGACAATATCTATGTAGTTTTGGAGATCTTCCAATCTTTCGGAATTGCCATGGGTACCAATGCGCCCCGTTATTACTAGACCTATTTTTTGTATTCACTTAAAGCAGAAATTATTCAAAAACTTGTACATGAGAAGAAAATACACTTGCTGTGGCCTTCAACTCGACATTTAGATATATCGACGACGTATTTATCAATTAACAATAGTTACCTCCATTCATATGTCGACTCGTTTAATCCCAGGGAGCTTGAAATAAAAGATACCACAGAGTCTGACACATCTGTTTCATATTTATACCGTCAACTTCCTTTACTTAAGTAGCAATATACCCTTATCACCTGTATATGGGGTTTGTCTCCCAGTTGATTCGATATGCAAGAGGATGCTTTACGTACGAACAATATCTAAAAAGAGGCAAGCTATTGACAAACAATTTGATGAAACAAGAACCAACAGTCTCGTTTAAAGACATCATTTTGCAAGTTCTATGCTTTGCATTGGTCGATACAATGACAATGTCAGCAAATACAGTCTATCTCTAAGTCGAATGATGACTGATGTTTTTCATACTAATTGTTAGGCCATTATTTACACATTTTATTTTCTACGGATTTTTTCATTTTCCCGATCATGACAAGGAGCACACGGCGGGTGTGACCGGTCGGCAGGGGATATTTTCTCCTCTATGACATCTGATCCCACCTCTAGATCTGATGTTTTCAGAGGTTTGCTCCAGATTTATATTTTTTCTATGGACTTTTGAGCTTGATTACTGTTAGTGATCTCCATATTTGATTTGCAATTCTTTGTTCTCTTTCTTTTTAGAAGTATGATAATAATTTATTATGTTTCCAGCAATCCTCCAAAAGATATTACAGTCTGTCTTTACTGCATTTGTTCGTCTACACGATCCGCTGTGGAGTATCGATCCCGATATATTAAATATAAGTTTGTGTGGTAACTGAATATCATACAAAGTACAGTATCATTCAAGCTCATAAAAATGAAGTAAATGCTAATTATCCAAACCTTGCCTCTCAAAAATTCAAAAGTCATAAGTGAAATGAAACTGCTCGGGGTATTTTTGACAAAGTAGGTCAAAGCTCAAGGTCAATTGGATTGTAACGCTGTTATTTTTTATAATGTTTAATGACAAACGGTGCACATGCTAATCATAATAGACTTACCTCTTAAATGTCAAAATTTTGCTGTATATCTGCACTATAAAATAGTTTGAAAATTAAGTCTAAGGCCAAGGGTCACAAGTCGGTAACTATGGTAATTTACAAAAGCCATAGTGCCAGCAATGTATGTGCAAAATATCAAATCCATACCTCTTACAGTTCTCGAGATATAAGGTGTGGCAGGCGGACAGACAGACGCAGGATAAAGTGATCCCAAAGTGTCGCTCAGCTCTGCAGGTGACACGAAAACCCAACACTTCATAATTCTTTGTTTTGTGTTTTTTAGAATCATGGATATAAATGACCAGTCAAAGGCAAGAGATGACAATCAAAAACAGAACGAGGATAAATCATCCTTGGGAAATGTTGATTTACAAAAGTTTTCTTCCTCTTTTGACAAATGGTACGCCTCCACTCTGTCTTTGCTGAAAACAAACACAGATCTTACAAACGAATTGGATCTTCAAAGGACAGCCAACAAGAGTCTGAACGAGAAGATGAAAAGTCTGACCACCGAAAACCAGAAAATGCAGGACTCGCTGAATAGTCTGTACTGTAAAATGTATGTGTATTGCGACTTAGAGGAAGAAATCGTGGCTCTGAGAGAGAAAATTAAAACAAAAGACGAGGAGAACTTACATATCGTGGAGAAGATGAGACAATTACAGGAATCATACAATGAGAAAGAAAAGTCATTGCAGCAGGATTACAAAAATCAGATGGAAGCTTTACGAATGGAACTCTCTGAGACACTAGAAAATACGACGAAACACCATGATGAAATGATTCAAAAGAAAGTCCTAGAACTGGAAGACCTTGATAAAGTTTTGAAGAAACGAGATGCGGATCACAATGCAGAAGTGACGCGTTTATCGATGGAATGGGAAGATAAAATATCAGAACTTAAACAGCGGCTCCAACAGCAACAGACAAAGCCAAGCTGTTCTAGTAATCAGGAGATCTTCCGAATGAAGTTCCTGAATCTAAAACAGGAGTATGACGGCGAAATGAGGAGACTTCAGCAGATCATACAGACTTTAGAAGACAGACTTCGAACACGCTCCGACACTACCGTGACACAGACTGGACGCCCTAGTCTAAAGAAAAGGAAGCTATAACTTCAGAGCGGTATCCTGTCAATTTTCCCATGACGAAAGTGAAGAACCATGAGATAACTCTAGATTATTTACAGTTTTATTACGAAAAAAAAAGAACTTACATTGTGAGATACGAGTATACAACAATGATAATGAAAACAATCAATAAGATGAACGAAAAGATACACAGATGACAAAAATAAAATACACATTTGTTAAATAATAATGTTATCAACGATAAAATGGAGGTAAATGTATTTCTTAAGGACTTTAAATTTGCTTTGATTAAAGTAGGAAAAGCTTTACATCTTATTTGGCATACAATAAACGTTTCTTCAAATTATAGATGAACTTTTGACACTTAAATACTTGGTAATTGACCTGCGGTAGATAAGCACTGGGAACAACTTTGAGTTGATATAGGATTAAATATTTCACTTTGTCGTGAAAGTCTGAGACATATAAATCTATTGTAAACGACATTGCACATTTTGTCTGTCATCACAAAGTTTGGTTCTTTCATTGAAATAAAGATTTGGGGGACATTCTTGAACATACGGAATTCCGTTAAAGCAGTTCATGAATTTGTTACAGGATTCAGGATGAGGGAAAAGCCCGTTTGGTTCCGGACACGTCATCCTGGAGTAGCACGTGACTGCGTCCTTGTAGTTACAGGTGCGAATGAAGTTGTCAAACAACATATTGGAAGGACATCGCTCTCTCCTAGCAACACTCAAATCACACTTGTAGTAGTAGGCACAATTGTAGGGGTCTTGGAAAATCTCACTCATAGACGGGCATATTATAGGGGGATTTGGACTTGGTTTCCAAAACTCTGTAAGACAACATGCATTCCTCTGTTATCAATTGGTTACAATTACACTCAATATCACCTGAAAATATATGGCCAATAATTTTTCTGAAAACTGCTTAAGTATATACTTACTTGGAAAACAGTTGATGGAAGATGCATTTATCGTTGGGTCCATATCTGAAATATGAAGGGTATCTGAATTGATAAGTAATCCATACAAGAATTCGCTATTCGGAAATATATGCGTGTGAATAACGTCTTTTTATATCTTCATTTGTTAGCCAGTATTAAAGCACAGATCCACTTACGTGTACAGATGCTGCTTCCAAGGTATGGAAGCACACTTGGAAGACCTTCTTGGAAATTTCCCATGCTAAAAAGCTTGCATTCATCTGTGGCTAGTCTAGCAAACTCGGGACCAATCGGACTTCTTCCTACAGCATACATAGTGACACCATCCATTCGAAGATCATCAGCAACCCTGACCACATCATCGAAAGCTTCAATAGGCTGTGCACCCCAGGTAAAAATAACTCCGATTTTCATTACACCGGGGCGAGGTCGTTCCATAGGGTATCCGCTGGGATTTTGAAACATGGCGCGCATTAAAGTCAAAGCCTTGGCAACATTTGGTGGAGAGCCGATAACGTTCATGTAGTTTTCCCTCTGAGTAAGAAGAGTGGCTCTCGTATTTGTCTGAGCCTGGTCTTTGAAAGGCTGAGGATGGCTCACAATGGTAGGTTCATTCCCGTACAACACGAAACCAATGTTAACATTATTCTCATCCAACACAAAATAGTCCACAAGCATGTGTAAAAATGTTTCAAACGGAAAAAATTCTTCTCCAGGAATATTAACTGAACCTGGAACTGCTATTATTATATCGGCTTTACCTCTACAATCTGCATTTACTGAAATAGAAAAAAAGATAAATTATAGGTACATTTATTTTGCATCTAATAAATAAATGATTAATTTCAGGGGGTTTTTAACTATACTTCTCTATAATCACCTTGTGTGTACAACAGAGGAAGTGCAATCAGAGTGACTATCAAAGAAAACGACATCTTCTCCCCTGAAAGTAAAGATATCAAATGCATGTAGTGTCATACACTCCAGCTATATAATCAATTAGGAACTGCTAAAAACTGTGTTTTAAACATGTGTTGTAAATCTAAATATAGGAAATATTGTTAGAACACAATCTTGGGTAACGGCCTAGTTAAGCCATAAAACGCACATGAACGTGTCCACTCTGCCAGTAAGGCGGGAGTAAGCACACGCTCTTTCTCGCGGAAAATAGTCGGTAAACACGAGGCCCGTGTATTTTATCGATGATCGCGAACTGTGCAGACACATTTGCACATAAATATATTATAAAGTTGTTGCCCTGGCAAAATGCTATGCTCCACTTTATTTAATGTAGAATTATGCATGAAGGAAACTGCAATCAATATGTAACCTTGGTGCATGCCTCTAGTAATATCAAAATTAAAGACCAGCATTTTCGAACTTATAACATTTATCACTCACTATACATGTTTAAGGGACAATTACATGTAGTTAGCCTGAATCAATCTTAGATAAAAATACGGTGTTTGATTGTCCAATAGAGTGACATGGGCTAAATATGTGTTGTTACCCAATTCATTTTATGTATACATGTACATATAATGACTTTTAGTTACAAGTATATCATGGAATGATTTCTGTATATGTATCTTATATAAAATGCGTCATCTACTGGTAAAATTAACAATGCATTCGTTCTTTTCTATTAATCGATTTTTTGCTTTGTATACTAAAGAAAGCTAAAAAAAAAAAAAAGACAACACAAAATCACCAGAAACCACAACAAGGCCTTGTTACATTCTGTGTATAAAACAGTCAATCATTATCGTGCCACTAAGTGTGCAAGTATAGACAAAAATTATGAGGGTTTTAGCGATATTTTAGGATTTTAGAGAGATAAAATAGCTGTAATTTAGTGCTAACTGTCTAGCAGGCTCTTTTCATGTCACCTCCGCGGAGTGGGAGGATCAATCGTGCATGATTCACTCTTAGCGAATATCACGAAACACCGACCAAGTCTGTGAGAAATACATATGAAGGTTTACCAAGGACGAAATTTCTAGAGACAAGCTGTAAACGAACAAGTTCATTGTAACGGTTCAATTGCTAAATAAGCCTTATATGCAAAGTTGAAAGATACCATATTCTACTTCAGTATAAAATCAGTGTTGTGCTCACAGCCTATGAATGTAGTTCTAAGGCTGCTTTCAATTAAAGCGGGAATATAACGTAGTTATGTCGTATAAAATATTTTTCTTCATCCATTTGTATTTGCATCCAAGACTTAATGATTATAATTATACTTCCGAGGAGGTGAAATGAAATGAAAAAAAAAGAATATGGAAGTTAATTATATATAATTTGTATTGTTTCAGTCAGTTATCTGTCAGGGAAGGTATTTTTATTTACTGGCACCAAGTAATATAAATCCATACATGTGTATTTACAAATATACTCTATGTGTAATTGTGCAATATACATGTACATGTATATGCATTGTAAAGATTATGGGATATTAACGAACGGAATAAAGCCGGAAATGAAAAAATTAGGCAATATATGCCTGTCGGTGATAAACTGCTGTTAAAAAATTACGAAAATTGTAGAATTTGGTCATTATCATTTATATTTTTAATAAAACCTATGGCTATGCACCATTTGGCTCTGCACAGCTTGTTTGCATGCATAAATCTGCACATTTTCATCAGAACCAAATGTTAATATATTCATCGTTTTAAACTGCTTCAACCCTTTTAAAAATAGTAAAAATTAAATCATAAATTGCTGTAAAAACCAGTCTGATTAAAATCTAACCTTCACTAGCTCCTTTTTATTTTGATTGTCGCTTCACAATCAGACTTTGTGAAAATATTTTACAATTTCTTTTAACAGGCACGTAGTATCGGGAGTGGGAGTAAGGCTCGTCCCCTTATTTTTCCAAACATAAAAATTTACTGTGAATTGAGTTAATTTTCAGGGTTTTTTTAAATTAATTAATTAATTCTTGAATTTATTTAATCATTTTTTTTATTGACACTTTTCAAAATTTTTCAGGTATGTTGTCAATTATTTTTCCGGCTGTCTCTGTCTAAAAGTTGGTATCTTACATGTATATATCGGTAGACTGAACTGGGCATAGCTATATATCAGTAGACCAGAGAAGCGAGGTATTTGGAAAAGGGGACACAGTAAAAACTTCAACTTAACAATTTGACAATAGACAATACTTCAATACTCCTCTTTTATTATGGGGAAATGAATCTTTGTCTACTGATGTAAACAATTGTATTTTGAGCAATGGGTAAAAATTTATTTGAGGTTCAGGTAGATTCTGACTCACAATATATATATATATATATATATATATATATATATATCGTCACATTTTTATTACAATTGTTATAAATTTGTTCGACATTCATTATAATTATTTTATATTTTACAGGGAAAGGAATTTCTAAGTTGCAATAATCCAATCCCTGTTTGGGGATGGCTTGAGAATGAAAAAAAATGTATAAAATTAAAATTCACCCCCTCTTATTTTTTGTTGTAAATATGACATTCAGATTACTTCATTTTATAAACCATTGCTTATCAGTCCAGAAAAGTATTACTTGTTTCAGAACTATCCACAAATTTCTCTCACAATTTTAAAATTGTATAATTGTATGATCTATGTGTTGATTTTTTTTTTATTTTTTTTTCTTTCTTGGTTTCTGAAGAATATTAATTAAAAAGGAAATAAAAAATATTTTGATGGTTTTTATAAAATTATTTATATAGGAGTTCATGTTGACTTTTTCTTATAAGACAGTCAGCTTTGCTTCCTTTATCACGTATACCAATAAGTTATATCAAATGAATTTTACTGAATTTGAATGATTGTTTAAATTTTTCTTTTCTTATTCATTTAATTACTTCAAGTAAATCAACCAATAATCGGTCATTTGCAATGGACAAATTATTTTTTCAAAAAAGAAATTTTCTTGATTCGTTTGTTCTCACCTGTGCAGTGTGTGCTATCCTCTGCAGAGTCTTACAATACAGTAATCAAGCTTTTGACCAGAGTTAAATCAGGATCACACGCCGTGACGACCAACACTGCGCTTCTGTGACGTTTATAGGAAAGCTCTTCATGGCAAAACACATATCTCTGTTGTAGTCGATGATGGATAACAAAAATATCAGTACTGCTATATCCTACAGAACAAATAGAGAATGACATATCATTTTGTCACATATTAGATTTATTACTAAAGTTAACGAAGATTATTAATATGATATTGCTGTAAAACCTTCACTCTTACTAATAGTCTTTGGTCTACAACAAGCGAACTTCATACACCTCCAGTAAAAACTGATGTTGGATCTAGCTTTTATTTTGTAATATTTAAGAAACCAGAAGTGTCTGATGAGACAGTAGCTCTACTGGTTTTTATTTAATTAACGTAGAACTTAGATTTGAAACTATGACAACAGCAATAAATAAAATAATGATCCTTAATTTATCTCTTTCTGAGTAAATTTTAATTGCATATGAACAAAAAGTAGGAATAGCATTTTGAACGAATTTCACAGAAATTTCTATATTAAGTAACCATGACAAAACCATTCATTGAAATGTAACCAATGTACAGAATCGTGTATATTTGTGGAATCACCATGTTATATTGAAATCTGACTAAAATTGTAGGAGGAGTAGTCTTTAGAAAGAATTTCACAGCTAAATAATGTATTTCTATCCATGGCAACATCGTTCATTGAAATCAAAAACCGATATACAGAATTATATATCTTTTGTAGTGTAATCTTCTTGTGTACCATGCTACATGTATATTGCAATCGGACTAAAACTGTAGGAGGAGAAGCATTTTGAAAGAATTTCACAGAATTTTCTATTTTTAGTAACCATGACAACACCGTTCATTGAAAACAAAAACCGATAAAGAGAATTATGCATCTTAGTGTAGTCTACTTGTGAACCAAGTTATATTGCAATCAGACTAAAACTGTAGGAGGAGTAGCCTTTAGAACAAATTTCACATAAAGTTTTATTTTTAGTGACCACTTTAACATCGTTCATTGAAAACAAAAACCGAGACACAGGATTATGTATATAAGTGTAGTCTACTTGTGTGCCAAGTTATATTGAAATTGGAGCAAAACTGTGGGAGGAGTAGCGTTTTGAAAAATTGTTTACAGACAGACAGCTAGACGGACGACGGACACTTTACTATCGCATAAGCTCTTCTGGTTTCTTACCAGTAGAGCTGAAAGGATGAATAAAAATGTAGGTGACAAAAATTTGGTCTGTATTGATGATCACAACCCAACATACTTGTTTTTAAATAATTTTATAAAAAGTCATACTATTCAAGGATGTCATTTCAAGATCAGTTATCTTTATCGTCTTAAAAAAAAACAAACAAAGTATGTTCAACATAAGACGAAGCTGTGGAGCATAGGTAACACAAACCAATGTAAATCAGCATTAATGGCCTATAAATGTCCATTGACATCCCTCTGACTCAGACCCAAAAAGTCCACAAAAATCAATGCATAGGTCTGAGCTTCTGGACAAATATTATGGTAAACACAAGGTCAGGGATACTTAAATCTGTAGAACAAAGTTCATCGGATTATTGTGATCAATTAGTAGCGAAATCTTGCAATTTTCTATTAGTACTCAAATAATTACCAATAATCTAATGCAAAATTAAAGAAGCCTTCAGTCACAAAATTGAACAAGAGGTCCATTTGCCACAACGCTCAACAGATAACTATGGCCCTTCTTGTTCTTCATTAAGATTCTTTTTCCTATACATATTCCCATGTAAAACTTGACCATCCATTGTAGCTCCACCCTTCCCTAGGGGAAAAGGGTTATGATTTTAACAAGATTTTTTTCTATGTATTCCAATCTGAAACTTTGATTGTGGCCCCACCCTTCCCCGGGGGTCATGATTTGAACAAACTTGAATATACCCTACCTGTGAATGCTTCCATATAAATATGACTGATCATGGCTTAGTTTTTCTTGAGAAGAAGATTTTTAAAGATTTTCCAATATATACAAATGAAAAGCTTTGATCACCCACAGTAGCCTCACCGTACCCCCGGGGGTCATGATTTAAATAAACTTTAAGCTACACTTTGTCAGAAAGCTTTCACATGTTTTTCATTTTTTCTTGCCCGATGGTTCTTGAGAAGATTTTTAAATGACACAGCTCTTTTTTTTTTTTTTTTTTTTTTTTACCTTTTCTCAATTATCTCCCCTTTGAAGAGAGCGTGGCCCTTCATTTGAGCAAACTTTCGTTCCCTTTACCCAAGGATACTCTGTGCCAAATGTGGTTAAAATTGGCCCATTGGTTTACGACGTGGACAACAACAGAAAACGGCAGAAAAGCTCACCTGAGCAGGATAAATAACACTTTATTTTATGTATCAGTAATATATCTGTTAGATTTATGTTCATATAAATAACTTGAATAATGTTTGCAAAGTGATTGTGAAAGTTTTGTAAGATTTAGTATAAATAACGCCATAAAGTGTGTGGACAAAATTGTGTAAATAAATAAATATAGAAAATGGCACTGAGTGGCATGCTTGAACACCAAAAAGATCTTTCGAATACAGTTGTATTTTAGGATCTATTATTTGTGTAATTTTCATTCAAAATCAAAAAATACATATCAATCTATGCATTAAAATTTTTGATCGTGTTGTGCATCCTTAATACTAGCATGCAATGATAATAAAAAAAACATGCCGGAATTAATTAAGTCATGCCTGAGGACTGAATGACAGATGAGATATATTCAGCCTTGTTATTTGTAAAAAGTTTCAGGTTATTGCATTTTTCTATGAAATTCGTCATAAGTTATGTCTTCAGTATTGCAGTGTAGCGCAATTTCTGATTGTCAAAATCATCAACTCATCTGCAAGACGCCATATTTCAATCACAGAGTGACGGATAATATCTGTGAGAGGGCGTCCAGTAGTTTACGACCGCTCACCATGTCATGCAAAAATTTACTAGAACAAAAACTTGTGTTTACATACAGAAGTAAATACAAATAATTCTCACGAGTAAGGACATACACAGTTTGTCAACTAATACTAGTGAAAAGCAACTTCATTCCATATTAAACTGTGCTTCAAAACATTCTTAGACGCTAAGATTAGACCTGTACACTTTACTGAATTTAATAACAAAAATTTCAAAATATATGCATGACTTTATGTGGTATTTTTTTCAAACCCTCACGCTTCCGTTCGAAGCGTCATGCATTGGAAATGTTCATAGTTCGTCCGTCCGTCTGTCTGTTTATAAGCTCAATATATCGTATATCGTTTTCTAATTTCGGTAGTTTTTAAATTTGTTATATTTCTAATTTAAAAATAAAATAGTCTATTCAATCATCTTATGATGCTACCCCGCTATATATGTGACCTAATGTAAATAAACTCTGGTAAATGTGTAGGAAACATCAAAATGCATTATCTCCATTCATGCAGTTCTTGAATTAAATTAAAAGAGGAATTGTCATAATACAATAAAAAGTTTATTACAGAACTCAATTTATTGAGATAAAAGACTCCCATTTTTACGAAAGTGGAGGAGATTTATTCTGTACACATAAAATGATAGTATTAAAAAACTTATATTTTTACGAAAGTGTCCGAGATTTAATTAAACTGTGTTAAAAAAAATAGCAGAGACATGAGTGAATAGTTCTTATTAAATTTGCATATATAGTATACACATTGTACATCAGGCCGGTAGCAGCAATTTAAAAAGTGAAGGGGCACCCCCCCCCCCAACAACAACAACACACACACACACAAAACAAAAACAAAGTTAATTCTACAGGCATGTACATTGCAAAATCAAGCCAGGAAAGTCACAAAAGTGTTTTATAAAACATTCTGTTTTACATTGAGCATTTTTATTCGTGTGATAGATCAGATTCTAACATACTAGTGGCAAAAGCAAGAATTAACGTGTACGAGAATTGATCTCTAGCCAGTAGAGTAATAGTAAACTATCACGGGTTCATAATATCCTAAGCTTTGATGATCTCTTCAAATACTAGTGCTTTGTCGTTAATACCCTTTTTAATTTGCTCGCTGCCTGAGTCAATAAAAAGTCTCTATCCGATAGTAGTTATGTCATTTTATCGGTTTTAAACACAGATTCTGCTTGTTGAAATCAATGACCTACAATCAAAATAAGCTTAAAACGCGGCCTTTTTCCAATAATCAATTTGTTGCAGAAGAGTTAAGTCCCAGGGCTAGAGATCTTAACAACGAATCGTCGATGGAGTTTAACAACACGATTCGTATGGCAGCCTTCCGAGTTCCATTAATCTACAGACCTCTTTAAGGACCATACAGCTTTCCAATGTATTGGCGGCCTTTTCAGTGTAAAGCTTAGACTGCTTCTAAAATTACAGACTGAAAAGTATTGAAGATAGCCATACAATACGTTCAGTTTCTGCTTGTGTTAGCTGCATTCAGTCAGTAGAGGGTTACCATGCCCTCTTAGAATAATTTGAAATCAGCCTCAGAGTGTCAGTGAATTCGAAATGCCTGTTGTAAAGGTAGCAGACGATGTTGGGGACATGATGTCACTCCTTGAGGTCAATGGGCGATACTTTCCCATACTGAGGACCCTTCATCACCAAGAGGAAGAACTTCGTAATATGACGTCATGGACAGCTAGGAGTGATGACGTTCTCATCTGTGCTTACCCAAAATCAGGTAAGTTTAGAGTTTGAATAGAACATTGATAAAATAGACAAGGTGAACGCAACACTTTCTATGCCTTACGATTTGTATTATTAGTTTTTTTGTTTTTTGTTTTTTTTTTTTTTGGGGGGGGGGGTATTTAAGTATCTAAGTCTTTTAGAGTTAAAGATAATGGAGCTAAAATG